GTTGGGACTGAGGTAAGACAATTTACGATTATGTCACCATAAAAGTCCCAACCTTGGTGGGGCCCAGGTGGTATAGACCCTCCATCAGTCACTCCCTGTGCATTGTAGGCTGTTGTATAAAAAAAGTAGTTTTTTGTCGATTGTGACCTTGACCTTGGATCCATACCCTTCACAATTTTAGATCGTTGGTCGTCACGGAACATTGTGAAGAAGTTTGACGAATTTCTCAAATAAATTGTTGGCTGTAATATTTTTAAAAATGTATTTTTTCATCGTTTGTGATCTTGTACTTTGACCCTCACCCTTCAAAATTTAATCACCTCGAGATCTTTAGTCATGGATCATTGTGACCAAGTTTGACGAGTTTCGCGGTGTTAAAAAACTGTGGCGCGCCTGTAGGTACTTCACAGACAAACACGCAAACAAACACACGCACACACACAAATTAACAGGGGCGAAAACATAACCTCCTTGGCGGAGAGTAAATATAACTTTTAAACTTTTGTGTCTACCTGATTCACAGCGCGTTCCCTCATATCCATATTTGCACGTACACGTGTATCGGTCATTCATGTTCCACCACGTAAACACGGCGACGATGCGCATTCATCGTCTTAAATGAAATGTAATGTTAAAAATAATTTTAATAACAATAATATAATATTAATATGTATACAATTATAGTTTCACTGAGGTGCTGACATGGCTACTTACTTTGCTGTCGCTGTTTTTGCTTTGCAAAAAACACTAAAATTTATTGAAGCGAATATTTCGGCTAGGCCTACTCCTGTAGTCTTTGTAAATGCTGGTCATAAAATATAACATTTTGAGAGAGTAAACTGGTAATATAATGTACAATTTAAGAAACAATAGTCGAAAGCAAGTCGGCATACTATAAAGGCTTAATGATATATTTACAAATGAACAATGATATGGAAGAACAATGAATGATCAAATGGTGGATATTGGGAAAGCATAACGATCGTATTAATGATAATCGAAAGGCAAAGCATAGGGCTATAATCATTGAAACCAAGTAGGAAGCGGCCATTAAAAATAATTATTTACAAATGTACTAAGAATTAAATTAAACAAATAAATGTAGGCTGATAATATATATATATATATATATATATATATATATATAGAAATAGATATATATAGATCAGGCCATAAATTATAAAAAATAAATATATAAAAGTATAGATAAAAGTAAGAGGGGCAGGAATCTGCAATTATTATATATGTAGTAAGTAGTATCAGGTATATAATTATTTACATAGCATATGCGCGTATAATCATATAAGCTAAAACGATAATAAAAATAATCTAGGGCCTAGGCCTATATAAACAAATAAAAATATAACATATGTAAATAGAATTGAAACAAAAAAAAAAAGTAGGCCTGTAAATATGAGACAGGTTGATATAAATTAACCAGAATAAATAGTAATAAAACTTTGAATAAATGTGACCTGAAAACTGAAAGAAATAATTAGCGGCTGAATGAAAATTCACTGATAAATCCCAAGAGGGGAGGATCAGAAAAAAAGAGGTTGGATTGTGGTGTCATTTTGCATGAAGGCATAATCTTGTTTCAATATTTTATATATTTGTGAGTGGGGGAGGAGGGGGATTTCTTAGTTAATTTGTCTCTTTCTGAAGTTTATTTATATGCTTTATTTTGCTTATCTATCTCGGGTCAAATTATTAATTGTAATTAATTGCTTTGTTTAGTTAATTTGATTTTTTTTGTTTTGAACGCACCGTCACTTGGTATGTGTCACTGTTACAAAAGTGTACGTTAGAATAAATTATTACATTAACACAAATAGCTCTATAACGCCTAACAACTCATCTGACTCACTTAACAACTCATCCACTTCTCTCAATTGTGATTCTGCTAATGTTATTTACCTAATTCCACACTTTGCAACAAAGGACATTACATTGATGAAACGGGTACTAAATTCCGCAACTCCTTCTTATACACATCTAGATGTGTATAAGAGACAGCCCCACACCCACTCTTTAACTCAATCTCCACCATTTACAAGTCACTCATAGCCAGTAACTTCCGCTCTACTGAACACAGACAACGAACAGAACTAAAATGGATTTTGAAGCTAAAAAGACACACATATGTGTGGAGTTGAGCACATGTCAGCCCGGCAGCAGGGGTTGGTAAACTGTTATCTTGGCAGGAATCAATGAATATATCTTCAAATTTAAAGCAAAACATATATTTGTGTTCCAGCTAATTTATATACAACAAACGTGTACATTTTGAAGTAATTTTCTGTAAGAAAAAAAAATGTGTTTTGATATAATGTATTCAATTAAAGCATTTGAAATATTTATAAAGGAATTTCCGACATTTGTTGAAAAATACCACCCTTAACATTCGTTTAAATGTAAAATATTTTCATGATAGATTCGCCAGGGTATACCCACTTCAATCATGTGAAAAAGGTGTAAAAGCCATAGTCACCAAAATGGACTTTTGGCACACTTTGATTTGGCCCACTGTGCGTCGCCAGTTGCGTGATGTAACCCATTGCCGTAGCTTGCAGTCTGACTGCCCTTGTTAGGTGCAAGCTTAAGATTTCCAGAACTGCATAACAAATGGTTGACAATTCTCATCTAAAGCATATGTTGTTAAATGTGAAAGACTACGCAGTCGTCGTCCTCAGCAGTGGCGTATCCAAGGGGGGGGGGGGAAGCAAAAAGCTTTCCCCCCCCCCATTCGAAAACTTCGAAGCAAAAAAAAATAGGCTAGGCTTATGCTCAAGAAAATTGGTTAATGCTTTCTCAACTTCCCTTTATTGACGTTCATCAAAACACCCTATTATGTATTTATTCGTCCTTCATTTCACAGCAACACGTGTGCGCGTGCCTTTATTACAACTTAAGAAGTCTGAAAAAAAAAAAGTGTGATAATAATATAAGATTGGTTTTCGGCACATGGCAAAGTAAATTTAAAATACATCAAAGACAATTGAGTTTTATTTTCAATAGAACATCACAGCGATTAATTTGATCGATGATGATTCATTTTATTATATATAAATAGTGTCATTTCCGGCAATTTAGAGGTACTATTTTCCCAATTGTTACCACCTCAGCCCTTAACTATGGTGTGGACTAATGGCTTTGAAATAGGTAGGCCTAAATTAAATACCTCAAAGGCAATGTTTTTAATATTTATTTTCTATAGTACATCACACATATTAATTAAATATCTATGGTGGCCGAAAACCGCTGGTAAAACATCATAAGAAATTTGTTGGCGCTTCATTTTGACTATAAATGATGACGTGACGACGATGAATTTTACTATATGAAAGTGTCATTTTCGGTCATCTAGAACTACAATTTCCTAAAATGTTTGCCCACAAAATGTCCCCCTCAACTTTCGAAACAGATCTGCGCCCTTGTCAAAACCACGCCCCCACCCCGGCTTGGTGCTTCTCAAATCGCATTATCCACCCCCATTGCTAAATCCGCCACTGCACATGTCTTAACACTCACGCTTTCGATCCAAATGTAGATGATGATTGAATGGCTTGGTGGTTAAAATGCTTGCTTTCCAATAACAGGGTCCTGGGATTATTTCTAAAAACAAAAACAACTTCATTCCCTCATAATGAGACTTAGTTTAACTGTTCCCTGGTTTACGTAAGCATCTTGTGTGAAGAATTGTCTAATGAAGGATTTTGCTACTTCTGTTTGGCATATCAAGCCTTGCATCCCCCCCCCACCTCCGCCCTCCCAAAAAAAAAAGTAATAAATAAAAAAAAAGTAATATATAAAAAAATAAAATAAAAAGGTAATCGATTTGAACGAAATAGAATTAAAAATTTCTGAAGTTCTGAAATAAAAGGGTACTGTACACAGTACGCCGAAAAATCACCCGTATTTTGAGCTGTATTTTTTCATATTGCCACTGTCGTTTACAATGAATAGTGTCAATTGTGTTTCATTAGATCGGAATACAGTATGCTGGGTACAATCATTTTAAACTCCAAACCACCCAATAAATGAATACATTTTGTATTGCTGTCGGACTGTCTGCTATTATTTCTACACAATGTGAATCGACAGTTGCTCACACAGCCATATAACATAACAGCACAACTATTATTTACTTTGATAGTACGAACAATTATTAATAACACTGTATTCGGCATACAACTGACATTATTGTTTATGTATGTTCACAAAGCTTTAATTAGGCTACTTTAGTATCGTATGTCATCGCGTGTCAAGCTTAGAGAAGTTCGTATTTCGAAGCTCCAGTACATCAGCAAGCCGCTTTACTCTGAAACAACTATACTATTATTAAGGATAGACAGCACATAATAGGCGTGTGTATCGACATTTATTGAGGCGATTTTGGTAAAAACCTGGAAATTTAATATGTAAAACATCAAACTTCGTTAAACTGGTTACCAATAAATGGTATAGCATTACATAATTATGTTAAAAAGCATCTGTATAAATGTAAATGAAATTAGTATGCTTAGGATAAATCAATGACATAATTTTATTATACATATGATAAAAAACTTTGATTAATTAAATGTGAAACATCTAAAAACTACATATGGTGAAGCAGTCAAAACAACACTGTAGCCTACACCTATCCGTTTTAGTGTAAATGCTTGAAATAATGCACAATGTATTTTTAGTAATCTGATCGAAATTTGATTGCCAAAACCTTATCGAATCGCAAAACTCAATTTTTTTTTAATGTAAACACTATTTTAATATCATTCCGTATTGTATTGATGTTTTCAAAAAGTATACAGTATTGTGTTTTGTTACGAATACTGGTACTGTTTTGTATAGGCCTATTTTAAACATTGTCGGAAGTTGGTTGGTTATGTAACTATATTAATGGATAATGTGCTATATTACTTGCCGTTACATGAAACATTACACTGATCAATTTGTAAGTCATTTGAAAGGTTGAAAGACGTATACGTAAACGGCGTGTCATTTCTAATAAACCAGGAATTGAACTGATAACAAAGCATGCCATTGATCTACAATATCCACAAAATTAATTATCACATAAACTGAGTGATTCAAAGAGACGCGTGTTAAATTGATGACATCAGAAATTGCATTAATAATTCACATCATGGGTGACAGCATCTCCACGTTCCTAATATTTTCCATTTATAGAGATTCCGTAAGAAATGAACACCAACGCCTGACACTGTAACAATACAATACAAAAAGAAAGATTGAACACATTATTGTCTCACTATCGAATTTCTGAAGGTTATGAGCATTACTGTACACTTATACTGTGTAATAGAAAAAAATTGGGTTCACCTTTGCGTAATTAGTGTATGTTATTGTTTATTATATTTTAATTCTTCAATTATGTCTGACATCAATATAATGGTATACATCAATGAAATCGTAATACACTCAACGGTTGAGGTACAGTTTATACAGAATTAAAATTAATTCTGGGTCAATAAAAAAAATCAGGGCTATGGGATCAAATCATCTCATATTCAATACCAAACCTTTCTCATAACTAATGATAAGATTAGTAATGAGACATAACTTAAAAACAAGAACTTATAATTTTAAAAAAGCATCATAATAATTTACAAGAGTATTTCTTGACGGATGTTAAGAGTTATTGGAAAAAAGATCTATATAGATATGTTTCAAAATTCTGTGTCAATATTAATGTTTATGTACATTATGAAAGATTATCGATATAATTTCACATATTTCTTAGCTGTAAGAACCTAAACTATGTGCCTATAAGTTAAAATTTACTTACCACCGAAGGTATTGTTTGTAGAATTGGACCGAAAAATGAGTCTACCAACTGGCTCCAAAGACGAAATTTCTATTCTGTCTAAGTTGGTAGCCTCAACATACAACTCTTTTTCTTTGGCCTCATGCCATACACTATTAAGAATGGCTGTCCAAGAAGAACCATAGTCAAAGCTCTGAATGACTGCTCTTCCATCATGGGAGAGACCATACAGTGTATATGGTTCTTTCAGAACGCCAAGGATATTTCCAACACTGGAGTCCAAACCTTCAAAATAAAGATGAAATTACATTTGTCATTAGACTTTAAACCACAACAGATAAATACATCATTGTACATGTACTATCATTGGTTTATAATTAAGAGATTTCACAAACCTCTCCAATGGCGGTAATTGTATTCTGTTAGTTTACACTGGCAATTGTAGACACACATTTCTTGAGACTTAACTGGTGGTGTACATAAATTGATTTCTCCGCTACAATCACTGTTATTTTTGTCCACAAACTCAACCCATAAACACACTCTCTCACAAAAGCAGGTGGCATCGTCTGGACAAGCGAGAGAATTGCACCAGTTGCACCCTTGCAGAGCGGTTGCATCACACATCGCCATACACTCTGACAGAGTTTTGTTACATACACTTTTGTATGCATCAGAACAACTGAAATCTGTACAGTTTGTACAAAAATCGTCTGTGTACTGACAAAGTTCGTAGCAATTCTCATGAGCTGGTGGTCGTAATTTATGACACTTATCGCAGGTGAATGTCAAAGAAGCATTCTGGTAACGGTTTTCAACATACGAAAACTGTACTTGATTGAAAGTACTTTTGCTGCAATTCTTCATCGAGCAATTAGAATAAATTGTGCAGTTATCCAAGCAAGTGATATAATTTACGTACTGATGCCTGATGTCACATTTTGATTGTAAATGAGAGCTGTGATTTCCATAATATCCACTAATGTTAAAGTGAATGACATTCATCTGACCATCTTCTAAACTCCGTCTAATCCTGTAAATGTGTCTCCGAACGACCGAGCCAATATTTTTTCCTCCACTTCCATACTCAATAACTCCGCCACTATTAATGTCATTACTAGATGTATTCAGGAACCTTTTTATAATTAAATTTCTTTTTTCTATAAAGACATTCCTTCTTTTTCTACTTTCAGTCAGAAAATCGTGGTTCAATTTTCCCATACGTTTTCTGCCAGATTCCTTAAAGGAACTACCCAAAACTATAGCTCCTTTAAAAATATCAACACTCCGTCGTTGCCGTGTATGTTCCAAACATATAGACAAGAGTGTGCAGTTTATATTGGACTGACACATGTTGTGTGTTGCATCAACGATGCACTTTTCACTACAAGAAAACAAACTGCAATTACTTCTGTTGGCACAAAGACTGTCACAGAAGTCAATGCACTCCATGTAACTTGTGCAATTAATGGTAAGAGAATGTTCATCAGATGAGGCATTGGAAACAGTATTATTCATCATGTGTGAAAACAGATGTTTGCATATTTCTAAGCTTTCTTCACATTGTCTTTGACAGCTTTGTTTGTCATTCCATACACTAGTGTCATGGACATCGTTGCCATTAACATTGTCTGCTTGACATCCGCTACTTGTGTAGTTCAAACATTGTAATATGCACCCATGATGCAAACTGACGCAGTTGTTATAACAAATGTATGTGTTACTATCCTCTTCACACTTTTGTTGGCAGGTCGATATTTGATTACAATGTATATAACAGGAATTCTCATGAGTTAAATTTAATGTCTGAGATGCATTACTTACAAATGATGTTCCATTCTCGACTGAGGGGACAGTTGTGGCTTTTGAAACACACTGAGTGTAGTTACTAGCACAATCAATGACACTGCAATTTACACAAGGAATTGTACCCAAAGATGAATTACAACTCAAATGACAGTCACTCTTCATCAAAAAACAATTTATGGCATCATCGACACAGAAATCAGGTGAAGAGTTTCTAAATTTTTCATGTTCTCTATTTGAGTTCAGATTGCTGCATTTTTCAACGCAACTTTTATATTCATCAATGCAAGAGGACTTTCCATCGCAAAGAACTTCACAGTTGGCAACACAAAGGGTATCCAGTGTTGTGTGGCAGTTTTCTGTACCGATAGCAGAGCAATTATTACTTGTGTTGGCAACCTTGAAATCGGTTCTACAAGAGGTACCTGAGCAATCTACAGACAATAATGTTAATGAAGCCTCTTCAGGAGGAATGACAGATCTATTGTCCTTTTGTAAATCTAATAAGCCGTAATTTTTTAATAACCCAGCTACAATGTCATAAATATCTTCTTGTATACAATCCGTTTCCAAAAAGACTGTGCATTCAGTCACTGAGCAATTTTGATAGCAGTCATTTTTACAACCGTAGACGTCATCAGCTAGCTCAGAACATGTTTCATTACACATGTATAAAGTTTTATTGCAACTTGAGATGCACAACTCCAAGCAACTATTATCCATTGCACAATACAAAGTACACTGATGTTCGCACAGGGATGCATTAACCTGACATTCTTGATAACAGCAATTACCATCACAATTATATTCCGCTGTTAGACATTTTGCATAGCAAACTGAAGTGCAGTCAGTCTCTTTATCTTCCTCAGTACATGGGTGATTGTCACAATCCATTATGCAATCCCATGCAGTAGTTGAACAATTCTCCTGACATGTTTCCGGGACTTTAAGACAGTCAAGACTGCAGACATCATTCTTATTCATGCACTGATCTGCACATTTTACTTCTATGGAACAGTTTCCAGGAGAATGACATTCAATGCAATTATCTAAAAGACATGTGTCCACACCACTTGCACAGGTGTTTAGACAGCACTCTTGTGTACAGTTAGTCTGAGACAACTTGCAATCGGCAACACAAGAACCAAGTTCAACAGCAGACAATGTATTATTCAAGCACTCCACTTCACACAACATCATCTCTTCAATGCAATTGGGTAAACATCCACAAGAACAATTATCTGGGCGCGGTTCATAGTGGGAACAATTATCATAAGATAATTGCTCTTTTAAATAGGTGCAATTACAATATTCCTCACAAGTATGGGGTGTTTCTGTGGTGTAGGCTGGAAGGTCTCCAGTCATGAAACAGCCACCCTCATATCTGGAAAACAGAAGCGAAATCTATCAATTACAGTTATATTTTTTAGTGAATATTAATCTTTGTATGCTTATGTAACTTAGTAGAATCAAATTCAAACTATATAATGCATTTATGTATATGTACAAAACACACTATCATTGGACCCCAGCAACGGTACTGCATTTGTTCCTGATGCAGACTAGTACAAATTAGCAGTGACAATATTTGGATCGAACGACACTTACACATTGATCGTATTGTTGAAAAAACAAGCATACAAAATGTTGTTGGACTCGTCATACAAAACATTGTAGGTTGACAATTTAATATCTGGAAAAGGAAATAAACAGCATAACAATAATAATAATAATAATAATAATAATAATAATAATAAATACTCATAATAATAATTTACAACAATATAGTATATATTTTAACAATAATAGTACAGTATATGGATACAGATGGAATAAAATTGTATTGATAATAAAAACATTATGATAAAATATTACTTAATCAAATTATAAAATATCATTTGTGTCTTGATCTAGTTTGTAATTGGCACCATTAAATGAAATATAATTATCATTATAATAAGATAAACTCACCATCCAGTTCAGTTCGTCCGGTGTACTTTGAGGGAACTAATAAAGAGCAAATTAAAGAATTAAGTAGATAATATGACTACAACATTAAAACTAAAATTGATAATTATATTTATGAATTTAGTATATGACAACACATTACCACAAGTTTCAATTAAAAGCCTGACTTTTAATACAAATAAATGAATTCAATCCATATTAATTATTATTCATAATGATAATATGAATTTTTGCATCTATTAGTAATTTTAAAGTATTATAGTATAATTTTAAGGTTTTAAGTGTAATTTGTAGAAACTCTTTTGTGTGAAACGGTGTTAGGAAGACCAACCTGGAGAGCAATTCGGTTTACCTTTATGGAATCCCTTTACAGTTATTACGCTTGTCTTATGAGGAAAAATAAATGAAATGTATATTTTACAGAAATTTGTATGTATTATTGTTATTTTGTGTTCTTTAACACAAGTTAGTCTGTTCATGTCCATGTTTGACATATTTTAAAATTATAATTTTATATATATTTTATTCTTCAGGTATTACTACTTATTAAGATATTACTGCTTAATTATTTAAATTGAATGAAGTTAGGAGAGCCACTTTCTTAAATATTCTGGCAGAGACAAGCCAAACCAGTCACTTATCGCAAATATCGATTTTGAGTTATTAACATGTGCGTTAAAGAGTAATTAGAGCATAAAATGATAAAAAATCATTAAAATCTGACACTTCCTGATGAAGTTACAAGCGCTTAAACATACAGCTGTTATATGCGCCTAAACATACAACAATATGAGAAATCAACCTTTCAAAGTTTATGATTTTAGGCATTTCTCATGCAGAAACTATCATCAAATCCTTAAAAAGTGTTGTTTTAACATTGAAAATGGGGAAATAACAGCAAAGCATGATGTATCGATATATAAAGGTTAGTTTAGTGCAATAAAATAGATTTTGAAAATTTGAGATTTCAGCATTTTTTGGCCATTTTCTCTGAAACACGAATTGCGACAGGTGACTGATTTGGCTTGTCTTTGCCACATTTGTTGACAATCCTTTGCAGGCAGAAATCTGTTTTTGTAATGTTTTGCATTCCAACATAAACTTAAATACAACTACTGTACTTCAATGATAAAGGCACCATCACACCTTCAAATGTAATTTTGATTGGTACAACAGGATGAGTATGCGGTACAACATCAAATGTATAGTCCTCCTCAAATTTGTTGTACAGCCCCCAGGAATTATAATACACCTGAGTCATCGTCATCATGTGATACTCGCCCTGGGGGAGGGTGTGTGAAGGATCCAGCCTTATCAGAAAGTGGAAGCCAATCACATCAGTATGAAACAATGTTTTTACCTGAACAGACAAAAAAATAAAAAGATTTCAATCAGATGTTTTGAAAAATAAAAAATAACAAAAATCCTTTTTTTTTTCCTTTTTCATTTAATTAATGAAATCAATAATGTATATTGTATAGTATTATCTTATATAATTATTTATTATCTTGTGCGTATGTTTTTTTTATATAATAATCTTTTACTCTTATTTAACAACTTTGTTTTGCAATTCAGCCTTGTGCTGCTGGAAAACAATTTTATTTACATATATTGAATGAATACACACTAAATGATTTGCATTCCATCTAATGTTTGAAATTATCAAGCAGTTTCCTGAGAAAATTACAATATACTAAAAGAGATTTGTAGAATAGGTGATACAGAATATGAATACAGAAGTTGGACACAAGATCAATGGTAATTCCTAGCCCTGTTCTGATTGGTCAGTCAGTTTTTACTCTGAAAAGGTAAATTACAAGATAGACCAATTCTTTATAAAACTCTTTATTAGATTTGGGAAATGGAGTTGTTTTAGCCATGAGAAAAGGTACTGCTTGTTACAGGAATTGAACACAAGACCCAGAGATTAGAAGGCAAGCACATCAACCACCAAGACATTCAAACTCCACTCCCCCAGAAAACTTACATAAAACTTGATTCCAATTCTTGGGTCTGTTTCCACATTTTCAACACTCTGAATTTGTCTATATTTGTATGAAACTGATGGGTGGTTGGTGACGTTCACATACTCAATGTAACTTGGAAACATCCAGAGTATGTAGACATCCCTTGCGGTCACGGTTGAGTGAGCAGCATGACGAATTACAGTGTAGTACTCAAAGTAGTCTCTGACATTGAGGAACATTAGATATTAATAACAATGCAAGTAATAATTTAAGTAATAATAACATTTAACAAATATTTATTTCTTCATGTGGTAGTAACATTAATGTACTGAGGTATTTTTAAAAATATTATTAATAAAAAAAAATCTACAATATTGAAAACAGAAGACTGTGGAAAATCCAGAAATTCAAAACGAAATAAGTGCAGGTAGAAAAGTTTAAAGATTCACTCCTTTCCTCTACTAACTTGAAATGGCACACTCAGATTTGAATTAATAATATATATCGTATCGCAATGTAATTCAAATGCATCTATAATACTTCAGTGAAGTCACATACCCTGGTACGTAGCCACTCATCTTTGGCGATACCCAGACATTCATCAATAATTCAACAACTCCTGCCTGCAAAAGAAAGAAAACGTACAGTAATACTTGTGCAACTATATACTGTATGATTTTAATATTCACTACAATTGCACTAAGTATTGAAAAACAGCAAACCTCAATTTTATATGGGGCTAATGGAAGGAGGGTTGATCTTTTGTTCTCGCCATGATCATACATCACTTGCAAATTTATCCATTCTTCTATGCCCTTGGTAGCCAAAGCATCAGTAGTAAAGTTAAACTCGAGTGTAAACACATCCTATAAAGAAAAAACAAAATAACTTGTGGCTTAATAGTTATTAAAGATAACTCCTTTGTTTGCAGTGTACCATCTTGGATAATTGTCAATATATTTAATATTTTGTTGATTATTCTTGTCAGTAACAATAATATGATTACCGTTATTGCTTATACTGTTATTATTAATATTTCAAATATTATTTTTATTATTGTAGCAATTATCATTAATGTTATTATTATCATTATTAAAATAATTATTATACCAGGAATGGGGTACATGGGACCTTTTCTGTTTTGGACTACATGACACTTCTAATCACAAAATTTAAAAATCAATAAAATATAATTAGACTACAATTGAATGGGTGAAACAATAAACCGACTGATTGCTATTTATTAACATATTTGTGAAAACTTATATTATCATTTTCACTCAAAATTATACTCAATTCATGTGAATAAAAACTAAAAACAAATACCTCATTTTTATCAAACAAACCAGAATACCAGTTGCACTGTTGCTCAGGAAAAGCTCCAGGAACCGGGCCATAAATTTGAATAAACTTGTTACCACCACATGTGTTGTTTTCACCTGGTTAAAGTAAAAAAAATAATAAAAGTGTAAATGTTCATTAAACAACATGAAGAAGAAATTTCTTAATAAGTTTTAATATATGGAACAATATTTGTGCTGGCATTATAATTATTCATAGTAATATCATGTATAATTATCAGTACTATCAGCTTTCATCATCACTATCATTTTAAACTGTTATTAAATTACATTAAGTTTTGTTATTAAAAGTATTATATAATTTAAATTTAAATTACCAACTGCCATTTATGATGATTATTATTATTACAATTCAGTTATCATCATCCTACAGTATATTTATGTGCTGGGTTAATCGGATGGTTCTATTTCTGTAGTAGGGGTGTCCTAAAATGAACAGTGGAAATTTGTCTGTTTATTCAGTTAAGTATTCACGTAGTAGACTTTTAATTCAGTTATCAATTACTTATTTCCTAGGAGGCTTAGCTGTACCTGAGCAGTAGATGTCACAGTTGTCAATTGTCACATCCTGCATTGTTCCATTAAATTCAAATTTGTCCCCATTTTCTTGATATGATAAAAACTGTTCTTGCGTTCCACAGTAGCATTCTTTGCCAATCATTGTGCCCGAGTAGAGGTATCCTCTATCACTGTGAATGAAAACGATCAGGGATGATTCACTTAGAAAATGAAACAAATGGGCCACATGAGACTACACTATCATAATGCTGTCAACATATTAATACACTAACATTTTAACATGTTGAACAAGAGTGTGGGACCATACAGTAGTTCCTATGCAAGCCATGTTTTATTCACTACACTACAGCAGTCAGTATAGGCTTTTGGTGAAACCTCTTGTGGACATTAAATTATTTAATTGGATCTATGCACAAATAAAAATTGCTTATACAATAGAACCCCTATTAAGGGGACACCTTCGGGACAAAAAGAAGTGTCCCCTTAATCGGGTTGTCCCCTTAATAGGGGTTGACCGTTAAAAGATATACTAAAGATTTGCAGCCCAAAAAATAACTGTATAAATTATACCAATATTTGCACATTGTCATGTCAAATCGTGGTGTCCCCTGAACAGGGGTTGACTGTAGTGTTAAAAGATGTACTAAAGATTTGCAGAAAAAAAAAATACTGTACAAATTTCACCAATATTTGTACATTGTCATGTCAACTACAATTCAGGCCCTGGGACTGACATCTATATTGACATTTGACTCTGAAGAAGCCATGTTTTGTCTGACTTTCAACTGGTAAAGGCAACTGTTTTATAAGGTAAGTCAAACTTTATCAGACTATATCTGACCAAACAGTATTTGGTTGGTTTGACAAGATAAATGATATTGTTGGCTTAATTTACATATTGGTGACAATTATTGGATGAGAATTACCTGCAAAATGAGATGCATAGATCCCTCGTCATCACTTTTGTGAAATTGTAGTTAGTAGGGTAATTTTCAGTCACAACACCACCAAAATAATGTATCTTGCTATGGTAACATCCAAGAAGAAGCAAGTGCTCATATAAGGTGGAATTGAGAGAACTGCATTCTGGGATTGTTGGATAAGGTTGCTGTTCCCCTCTCATTGTTTTGAACATCTTTTGTTTATTTGAATCCAATGACTTGAAAATGAAATATAATTACATTAAAATTGGCATTCTTATGAATTGCAACATTTATTAGATAAAAAAGAAAAAAAAATTAATAAATAAATAATTTATTTAATTAGATAGTAAGCTACTGCGTTTCAAACAAAATTTAAATATATAAGGTGCAAAAAAAAAACTAAATATGCAACATAGATTAAATATGAAGTGACTGTTAAATGCAAGAATCGCATATTTAATCATTACTAAGAATACTTTAATCCTGTGAGTGAAAGCGAATGAGGATGTACACTGTGAATTTGTGTTAGGACAAAATTGTTATTTTACAAATGTAATGTAACTATTAGAAATAGTGATTCTATACAATAAACAAACATTATCAATTCATTCTATCATGGAGGAATATTTTATACAAAATGTAATATAGTCCTACAAAACAATTCAAATTTGTGGAATTACATACCCTAGAAGTAGTTAGTGTGTTAGCTCTACTATGTACATTAGGAAAGTAAGCATAGAAGTATTTGTGTCCACTGATGTCCTCTGTTGCTTGTGCCCGTGAAAGTTGGGAATACGGAAAATCAATTCCTGTACCTATCGACACCAAGGTAACATCTCCTAACAAAATCCCGTTTCCTAAAAACCAAAGCAACTGAACTATAATTGATTGCTTCACAATGAAGTCTCTTAAAATTCATCTCCGATGGTTAACAAGAAGCAATGTTGATGCTAACACTGGTATTTTAAATAGCACGCTGCTATAAATCTCTACCTAATTAATACACAAGTCAAAAATGACTTACAGTTGAACTTGCCATTCAAGTTCCATTGAAATATTGTTCTACTTAGATGAAATTTGTTAATTAAATTAAAAAAAACAACAATTTGGCATGTAAAATAAGATCGACTTGACATACAGTATTATTCGACTTGGGCAAGTTTAACTGTACTACAATGTGACACACTTATATACATATAACCAGAGCTATTATATAATAGAGATACTGTATATTAGATTTCAGTTAGGTATTAGTCTGTCAGACTGAATAGACAAAGTTTGTTCAGACAAGCATGCACTGTCATAGAATGCATGCTTGTTTCAGACATATCTGACCAAATCATGTCATTTGTTGTGTGTTAGAATAGAGTGCTCTACTTTATCAAAGGCTGATGATCAAACATTGTCTGTTAAGCCACAGCTCTGAAGATCTAATAATGCATACCTAAGGGGTGTAATAGTAAGCAAATATGTTGATCTAATGAAAATGAGGATATAAATAGTGTATTTAGTATAGGTGTTACTGCAGCATGACAAACACAGGATAGAAAATTACACATCATGGCCAAAAAAATTACAGTATGTTGCATTATTTAAAGCTTGAAAAGTGGTCTTTGAAACAAGTATATTAACTCTTTTTATTGAAAAATTATTTACCCCAAGATTTTGGGTTGGTGGGTTTGGGAAAGTATTGTGGCTTAATTGTGAGCAGATCAAAAATGCAAAGACAGATTGTAAAATTTTTAATATATAAAACAACAAAAAAACAGCAAAAAAAATTCCTTCTGTACAGGAAACACATGTCCATTTAAGCATTTTAATATTCAGAAATACTTATATAACAAAAAAAAGTGTGGAATTTATATTTACCTTCTGGTAGAGCTAACATTATTGATAAACTGCATTCAATTTTGGGTACAACTACTTCAAGTTGAAAGACTATTGTTTTCTCTTCTCGGACATTGACAACAACTTCATGTTCTGGAGTGGAGGAAGAAAAGACCTCAAAGTTTATTGGACTTGACTGGCCGCTTGGTTGCATCATTTTGAAACGGACACTCGGTGCGGGAGCAAACAGCGGAAACTTTATTGTTTCGTTCATCTCATAAAACCTTGATTTCAAATTCATTGGAGTGTCGTATGGTTTAGAAGAACGGTAGTTCATTGAAGCCTATAAAATATAACCAATATTTCACTATTATTTTCATACACATTACACAGTTTATACAAAATATAGTGAAACTAAAACTTTTTTTATGATATTTACAGCAACTCCTCGAGACAGGTGGGCGAGGTGACCCTGACTGTCTGAATTGGGCCCTGCTGGATGACACGCTGGTGCCACTAAAGTGTCCTTGATTTCCATGACCTTTTATTTATCAGCCCTAAAACAGACATTCTATTCTATTCTATTCATATATATTTATATAGCGCCTTTCTTCGCAGATTCAAAGCGCTTCTGTCCCTGGTCATTTTATCCACATGCTAAGTGTTGCTGCTGTATTCAGCGCAGGAGCAAGCAACCCCACCAAGTACCCATTTATACTCCTGGGTGGAGAGAAGCAATGCAGATGATGTGCCTTGCTCAAGGATCAAGCGAAATGCACAGCGAGGGATTGAAACCCCGACCTCAAGGTTGGGAAACTTCACGCTGCGCCAAACTGCTTCCACATTACTATTATTATTATTATTATTATTATTATTATTATTATTATTATTATTGATGAAACTTAATTATAGATTAAGATTACCTCTGCTTCCCATTTCTGTCCAGCATAAACATGTAAGGAAGGTTTGATCCGGTAAGGTACTGTGAAACGTTCACACTGCACCACATGATCAAAACGATGAATGTAGATCTGAAATTCCTTCTCGGTTATCTGCGTCAATCGTGGTCGTCTCACATTACCAAGGTAACCATCGGTGGCAGTGTGACTCATTGTGTCTGAACCTGAGAGAAGATCTGACTCTAGGTCACTGTGTAGGGTTATATACAGGTCAAACGCATTACCTGGGAAAAGACAATCATATCACAGTTTTTAAACATGAATACACCTTGATAAATATGACATTAGCATCTTCATGTTTTTGAATTTTATGATGATCTTTTATGTCAGGGGTGGGTATAAATATTGGTTGAAGGGCCAAAGTGTTTTTGATTTAACACTGCGGGCTGCACCCAAACTTTGATGTTTCTAAATCCTCCAAGCACTGCTTTTACACCACTTTATTCTCAGTTTTAATGTTACTTTTTACATATGATGGGTGTCGGGCCATAATAAACAAGGTGTTTTCTAGCCAATTTTGCTTGGTGGGCCGCACACGTAGGGTTTTTAATTCATTGTCGTGGGCTGCAAACAAATCGCTAGCGGGCCGCATGCGGCCTGTGGGCCCCACTTCGCCCACCTGTGTTTTATGTTAACTGTTAATTTTGTACATTACTTTTAGATATTTTTTGAGGCATGCAGATCATCCAGCACTACAAAAACTAACAAAAATTAGAAATAGGAACGAAAACAAGGCTGTAAAACGGAATAATCATAGTTTCTATGGTAAAGATCCGCTACAACAATAACATTGATATAGAACTACTTAGCAACAATTCTGTAACTGACCAGAGAAATCTGGAGTGTGGTACACTGTTAATCCAAACACCAAGATATCTCCAGCAGTACGGCCAATAGCAGTACAGGTCGACTCTTCATTAAGTGCAAATCCTGAGTAACACACACATCTGTCAGAAAAAGAGAGATTTTTTAACATATTGATCATACAGTAATTTAAGAGAGTATTGTACATTAAAATCAAGGTAAAATATACATGTTGTATCTGTAAAATCCTATCCTATTGTGATGTGTATTTTATCAAGGATTTTTATCCGACTTTAATGTGTATCATACAGTACAGGCAGAAATTTGCAATTTTTCCAGCGCGTAGGCTTCGTAAAGCGAAAAATGAACTAAATTAACTTTAATTAAAAAAAATCTTAAAACAAAAATTGACTAGACAGAATATCATACAAGCTTGGCTTCTTAGCTCAGTTGGTAGTGCAACCAATCAATATTTAGAGAGTATTGGGTTCAAAATCCTGATAGGGACAAAGCTTTTCTCTCAAAAGAATATCTAGTACAATATGAAAAGTCTTCTTAAAGTTGATGTTGTATAGAGGGCGCTCTCCTTAATTCAACTTACTTAAGACTTTCACAGTTGTGGATGTCAGCTGTATCTGTTACACATACTCGTCCTGGGTCACATTCCTCACTAGCACAGCACGTGTTCTCTTCACATGTGTAGCCTGTTGTATTACGCACTTGTCCTTTCTGCCACTCGTAATCAAGCACCTATAAATTATGTATAATAAGTCACTTATAACAAATTAATATTCAAGTTCTACTTCAAAATAAGTCACATCAAAATCTGCAAATGCACTTCAGGACATAAGTTATCTAGGAACATGCTGCATGTTTGGCCGTTAACAGAACTGATCCATGGCACCCGGCTTTTGGAAAAAACCGGGTTATAAATCCTGCTGGTTTGTTGAATAGCGATGTTTTCTTAAATTATTTATTGCCAGTGAAGTCTATGAGATGAAGTGAGTGATTGTAATGGGTTTCTTGTTTTCATTCCAATGGCTATATTTTGCTGGCCAGGACTCTCTTGTTAACTCCCAATGGACATTCTTAAACCAATTAAAGTTAAGTTTATGGAGCTGCTGACAGCTCCCTCTGGACCATTTGACAGCTCACTCTCAACTATCAGACAGCTCACTATGGACCATTTCTGTTAACGGGGACTTTTGCCTCATGAATGGATTGGACTAGCATTATTTACATTTTGAATTACATAACATTTGTTTATGCAGAACCTTGGTGTTTTACATAGTAAAAATTACCAGTTGCTGCACAATGTTATACAGAAACAAAAAATTAAATACTGTACAGCATTTTCCAAAAACCGAAAAGTCCACAGATTAATCTCAGATAAGATAGTAAAATAATTACTCCAAGTATCGAAATGCACACTGACTCGTTTTGGGATTCAATATTTCGACATTAATTATGTCATCTTCAGGAATGAAATCAAATATATTCCTGATGATGACATAATTAATGTTGAAATATTGAATCCCGACACGATGGCGTTATTTTCGATACTTTGAGTATGTATTATACTATCTTGTACAGTATTTTCTCCTGAGAAAACACTGCCTTAATTCCATTTTTTTGCCGTATCAAATACAGTTTGCAATTAAATGAATAGTATACACAAATATTAGGAAGTAATGTTGGTAGCAAGATACTTACCTGGATAAACCGACTACTTATCACTGTTCCTTTATGAACCCCGCATGACAAAAGTAAAACCGTCCGATTGTCCCAGCACATGCTTTCTTACCATTCTGGTAAACAAATAAAAACCATCACTTACCTCAACCCTGAGGTTCAATCTAGGCTCTACCAAAGTGAGCTCTACACTCGTGTCAGCTAAGGTCACCAATTCACCACTATAGTCACTGTAGTACGTGGCCGAGGCTGTGAACGGCACAGACATGCCTTGCTTCCAGGCAGGATCATCCTTCAAACTTAGTTGATACTGCAACCTGAGATAATCATCATCATTCGGGATGTTGTCTGCCTGGTTTACAATAACACCTGATGAAGTTTAAAATCACAATGGTTTATTCCTCATGAGTGTGAAAAAGCCTTGAATGATTAGCATTTAGACCGAGTAAGCATGGTTAGGAGTACAGTACGACTATGTTGCGAGACAGACAAAGTCAGAGACCTACCAACACTTTGCTCTAATTACCTCGTCCTTTGAATGGGGTGTTAAGCCATTAGTCGTGCGTGTGTGTGGGCGCACACGATAAAACACTTGGTAAACTATTTGGAAAGAGTAGGAAATAAATACACACACAATAAAACCTATAAGGCATCCAATTGTGCTCGCTGTTCAAAGATATAAATGATGCAAACAAAATCAACAACATATTTACCTGGCACCAACACAATTCCTTTCTCTGTAAATTCAGCTGTATCATACTGCTCGTTTGGATAAAGAATATGAAAGTCATTGTCGTCTGGGTTCTGACGTCGGTCCAGAAAGATTGTGGCAGTGTCATTTCTGACATAGATACTTTCTGTCAGCACCATAAATGTCAAAGATGGCCTGATTGAAAAAATAGTGTCACCAATGATACTGTAATTGGCAATGTTCAACGTTATTTCTGGTATCCAGAGATAGGAACGTATATCTATAAAATCACCAATAGAGAAAGTGTTTGGCAGGTCATCATATTCATCATTATTGTACATGTAAGCATAGGCAGTAGTGAACTCTAGCTTGGCAGTGATGTTTGGTACATTAATGTGGCAGATATCAGAGGAGTTGATTGGCCCGTAGAGACGACCAGCAAAGTCTACTACACAGCTGTCATACCAAAGATTTCCCCTTCCAGTGATAATACTGTTAGCAATAAAATCAACATCATCCCGGAGAGCTAAAGAGAATGTGCCCTGAAAGGAAGCACCTTCAACATTGACTGGTAGGAATCCTAAATGGAAGAACCCAATGTCATTGTCATAAGTTATTTCACAAAGTGTTGGATCCAAGCATGAAGGACTTGATATAATATCAGCTGGCAGGACCTCTCCACTTCCATTTGAAATGGTGAAATTAACTGCACCAAGATAAAGACTCAAGTTATATGCTGGAGAGTTGGAAGCGTCAGTGTGTTGGATCTTATAGAAGAACTTTACAAAGTCCAAACTATCCACAATGTCACTTGGATCTGGCACAATACGCACAAACGTTATCTCTAATTCTGGTTCAACAATCACAAATTCGTCACCAAGTGGTGTGACTGCCTCATCAATTACTGTTAAATTATAGTCCCAGTTGTCTAGAATGTGCTGGGTTTCATTATCTGGTGGAACAAAGCATTCACATTCAAAACCTTCTTGTGGAACCATCTCTTCGCATAGAACTGGTTTGATATCAGGAATAATGATGTCTACATCAGAACAATTGCAATATAACACAAATTCATCCCAGTTCACACTTTCCTGAGGGCTATTTGGATTACAGTATGTTCCGTTGGCAGTGGTAGTAGTTCCGTTGGCATTAGTATTAGTTCCACTGCCAGTGGTATTAGTTCCATATTCAGAAGTTACATTATGCTCACAGGTAACATCTTGGGTGACACTACTCTGATTTGTATAGGTTCCATTTTTCTGTAATTGGTATCGTTTCAAGGCATCCTGAATTGTATAATTCACTGTGAAAACTTTCTCACATGAACAATAGCCATCATTGACTATGTACTCTTTTGAGTATACAACATCTTCACATTCTGTGACATTGAAAGTGTTGCAGGCATTTGTAACATTGACTGTACATATATCGTGACAGTAACATGGTTTGAAATTTGCATCAGTTACGTTCCCACAATCACACAATGAAGGATCACCATGGTAAGTAGATGTGTCTACCACTGACCTCTGGCACTGTATGATAGAGAAATTAGCAACACTGGAAGAAACAGGAAAACTGTGAAAACTACAAGAGCAGTTTGAATCAACAAATAGATTCTGTGATGAACACTGGCAGAACCAAGTCAAATTCAACATCTGTAGCACATTTACTTCCCAGCATTCTCTTTTGGAAACATTCTTACATTCCTCTTGCGTGTTCTTGACAATATGATTGACATTTGGACAAGTGTAGTTTCTAAAGTACATTTCTCTACATCTTGTTAGATAGTCAATGTTATCCTGAGAGTTGGCAGTTGAAAATATCTTGTATGAGTCACAATCACATACTGTGTTATCAAATTCTGAGAAATCTTTCACCATTGGTTGATTCAGGAAATACTGTACATTCTTTTCACAGAAATTAACACAGTCACATGAAGGTGCCCCAAAGTAGCTCTTTTCAGTTTCTTGGAACGTTGATGTGCAGTTACAAAGATCACTCCGATGGCCGATCAGTGTCATCGTATCACAGGCACAATCCAAAGGATAGAAGTCGTTAAAATATTGAGTAAGAGGCTTAGAACAGGTACAGTTTTCTTCATACCAAAGAGGTGGTGGTTTTGGTACTGACATGTACATGAATGTAGATGATGTATTGATATATAAAGTCTCATCTCGACTATTCTCCACCTCATCAGATATTACCATAGTTACATAAATAGCAACAGAATCACCTCCTAAACCAAAACCTGGAAGATTAACAGCCTGGTATTTTACCCCTAAAAAATAAAAGGAAATATATTCTATTATCATTTGAAGTATTAAATGAAAAATATGTTTTACTACAAAATACTATGTTTGGTAACTTCTGTCAGTACAGTATTATAATTATTATTATTATAATTATTATTATTATAATTATTATTATTATTATTATTATTTTTATTATCAAACATATTACAGTATAACATAGAAAAATTAAAAACCTGGTATTTTATTAAAATATCATTTACTGTAGTTTGTAAAATGAAAATTATATTATTAATACCTGGTTGATAAGGGTTGTGATTGTTTCCACCAACAAAAGTGCAAACAACACCATCTCGATTGGTTGTGATTGAAGTATTCACAACCTTTGCCATTCCAAGCTCAACAGTTACTTCTTCGAAACAGAAATCAGGAATACTATAATGATCCTCTGCACCTAATTCTGTTGTTGAATTACTTTCAGATGATGATGAATTTTGGGAAGGGGGCTCTGGAGAAGATTCATCTCTATAAGGTTTTGCCAGCAAAGACTTGTTGGCAAATAGTGTTGAGCAAATCTGATATGGTTTCTGTGACTTATTGTAGTTGCCTTCTAATATACTGGTGAGGTTCAAACCTTCTAAAGGGTCTTCTAAATCATCTGAAAGAATTATAAGTGCGAGGCAGTGAAGACGAAAATTTGTATTTCATTAACAAAATTTTGATTCTCAGAAAGTGCACACAAGTGGTTTATTCAAAAAATATATTAATTAGAATAGTTTTTTATCATAGATAAGCAATGTTAATCTCATTACCACAAATTTTAAACTACTGTACTTTTAAATGTTTTATATTTTTGTATTTTTTAAATGTTATTTTAATTTTAAGGAGACGCTTGTTCGGAATCCTGTCTAATTTTTTTGTGTCATTTTCTTATATTTTATTGTAAATTATGAGACCAATAAATAAAATTAAATAAGTAATAAAACAAAATAAAATTGAAATACAATATATTTATGCATTTACCATCTTTTTTGGTTTCTTCTAAACATGCACAAGTCCAATCGCCAATATAATCATCAAGAGGATGTGGAGTATAATTAGGACTATCACTCTGGTTCTTTTGACCAGGAATTCCTGCCCAGTTGCACTCACTGAAAATAGCACTGTGGCAAAAATTGACAGAGAAATTCTTACAGATTTCTTCATCTGTTGGGACAGTGAAGTTAGTGGAACAATTGGACAAGTTCCAAGAAATTGATGAGTTCCAAAAAAGCGATGTATTCCAAGGAATCGATGAATTCCAAAATACTGATGACTGGTTGAATGATGTTCCATTGAAATTAATTATGCCATTCATCATGTTACTGCTACTGGTCGACACATTGCATGTCATTCCATGGAAGTCTGATGCTGTTTGCAGGTAACTGGTTACATTAGGATTTTGAAGGCAGAGCTTTTTCGAAGTGTTCTGACATGCTTCATAGACATGTGGAAGAAAATCGCAATCTGTGATCTTGCTTTTCCCCGTGTCTCTATCTGTCACATTAGTACAAAGTTGGTCAGTCTTCAACTGGCAAGAAAACTGCGAGATTATAAAGCTGGCATCAAATGATACATTCTTTTCTCCATAACAAAAACACGGCCGCATCTCTGCATAACATCCGTTGTCAAAAAAAGTATCTTCAATTGGCAGTACCTCCGGTATGTTTTTCTGGATCTGTTGCACTTCCCATATTTTTCGAGTTACATTTCGACGTGGGAGGTACATTTCCATTGTGAGGTTGCACGTGATTGGAGGTAGAGGGACCATAAGTCGGTAGGTAAGTTGTTCATTGATGGCAACTTCCTTATCAGGTGTATCGGGAAGAGATGTTCCGATAAATTTGAGAGATGCATTTCGGATATTGAGGACATTTTCACTTACGGTTGTGTAAGGATAATACCTACCCCAGTGGTAAAAGCTCACCATTTCATATTTCACTTGAGCCTGTAAGCAAATGCCTGTGAAGAAAAATATTAATACAAATCTTAATTATAAAGCCCTGTCTAGACTATTAAATTTGATTGGACAAAAACATTTGGCATGTTTAAATATGGTCATGATGACATCACATCATCACCATATATAGCCACATCATGACTAAATATGGGCATACAACAGTTTTTTTTGTCAAAGAATGTTGATAGTGTGGACATGACATCATGTAGGTGATCACTTTTTGGTTTAAAAAAGAAACAAACTTCTAATGACCTAACCTTCCATTAGCTTGGTAGAAATTTGCACAAGGAATGTGCCTTCAATGACTTCATTCAGGTCTAGTTTATAGATATATAGCTTCAGGATCTCATCATTTAGTAGTTTTCCTTGTTCTGACAGTTGATCTCTTAGCGGAATTCTTGAATTTTCATAAGGAAGGAAATGTTTGTAGATCTTCATATAAGGTAAGAGAATACTGACATTTATATGATGGGCAGCTGATTGTGATACATCTGAATGATTTACTCTTAAGTAGTACTGAAATATTTCACCTGATGAAAGAGAACAAAGATTGTCATTATTTTCTTCATTCTGTAAATTCTGCAGTGTTAACTAATGTATAGACATCTTGAATGGTTTTCACATTGCACGACTGGTAATGACAGAAGGCAAGGATTATTTGAAAATTACACTGCAAACATTATTAAATATCTGGGCCAGATGCAGGATGCCAGATGTCCGTAGGTGGTACGTATGAGTGGACACTACCTCAGCCCCACCATGGTTGGGGCTGAGGCTACGAACATTTTGAGAATATGGTTAAATTCTAGGTGCCTGGAAATTGCACTCTCGTACCTTAAAAATCTTACCAGTAATTCATATCAACAATAAAAAATAATACAATTATTTTTCTTAATAAAATTTAGGAGGGTGCGATCGCACCGTATGCACCCCCTGCATATGTCCCAGGATACAAGCCAACCATACAGGTAGTTACGGAGAAACCTCTCACCAGGGTCAGCATCCGTGCTAGCATTGGCCACCTTCAGATGCAAGTGGATATCTGGTTCAGTTACTGTAATGGTTTGCTGCTGTATCAAATCTTCTCCATTAGTGTATGTTACTACAGTCGTTAATGTATGCTCTGTGTCTTTCACAGCTTCATCTTTTTCATCCAGAAGAACAACATTAAACTCGACCACAGTACTGTCTATAACAGATATTATAAGTATAGAAGCTAGCTGTTAATCTCGTAATGAATAATTAATGTTTACATCAGTGCGATTGTTGGTTGGATTCCCCTTTTTGCATGGTGTTTTTTTAATGGAAAAGATTGTACACAATGCTTTCAAAAGGCCACACCTAAAGATTTCTGTAATTGGGAAGGCATCTTACATCAAGATGTTCAAATGCTTTAAATCGGAGACGTAGCCTGTCCAATCAACTGAGTAAGAACCAAACTACAAATGAAATTCCCAGTTTTTGATTCTTTGATCATTAGGAAGGAAATGTGTCCTAATGAAATAATCCAAGAGCGTACTAAACGTAGCCTAATAAACATAGCCTAATAGCTAAATTTAGTAGACTCTAAATGGTAATTGGAAAATGTAATGTCCAAATCCTTAAAGTGACAGTACGCTATTTCTAAAATTTTGTTGTAGAAGACATAGACACTGTAAAATAAAAACTTACCATTTTCACTTTGTAGGTTATCAGCTATATTTGTCGCTTCACCTAAATTCATTTTCAGATTTGACCTTGTTGACATATCCCATGATACTTCAGTGGTAAATAAAATAGTAAATCATATAATAAAATATACAGTTGGTAGTCTATGAGTGGAATACTTACCTGTATTCCCACTCTGGTAATTAGATGGTTTATCAAATTTCTTCATTCAGAGCAAAAATAATTTTACTGAATTTGATCAAACATATAGAAGTTGTAAGAGTTGCTTATAACAAAACTATAGCTTTTTGTGAGAACAGTTTAAGCTCAGTCACTGTTCTGTTGGTATCAACTGTGTGCGCATTGAAATATGGAGTTCCTTTCATAACTTTTGTTCTCAGTATAAACTTCATGACTACCCTGTGTTTAAGCTGGAGTTTTAGTTTTTAAAGCCATTAGTCATTTGTGCAATACAGCTGACAGGGGTTGATTCAGAGAAAAATCTAGGTAGGGGCAATGCTGGATCTAATTAAGGTTTGTTTGAGATTTTTGTTAACCAATGCTTGACTATAGACAAGGTAAATAGAATTTAAATCAAACAATAGCTTGTTGTGGAGTACCACCCACCCCCACTTTTTCCTTTCTTTTCTTCTCTCATTTTTTTCTGCGGTGGGGGAAACCTGGTCCCTGTGGCCCCACTAGATCCACCCCTGGCCCAGGTACATGTTAAAAAAAAAGTGCGCTCACTGAAAAAGAGTCACTGTGTACTCTCTGATCCACCACCCCTCAAAATAGGTCTTCATGATTTAGAGAGTCTATCATGGTATGTTTCACACAAGAAATCCTATCTTACCTATGTCTTCATCTCCATCTTCAAGATATGCCGAGGTTAGGTTGACAATATTGGAACCAATGAATATGATTCTTGAATAGTAGATGGCTAGCACAGGATGTGGCATAATTATATGAAGGTCAATCTGGTAATGGTAGATAATATGATAATAAGTTGATATGAGTTATTGGTGCTACACATAAGTAGTATAGAAAGTACTGTATTTACTTATCTATGGTAAACACATTTAAAAAACAAATGGTTAAAAAATACTTGATTTGAAATTTGTGTACACAAAAAATAGTTCTGTATACTGCAAGGATTCCAAGATTTTAAGATCTGGTTAAATGAGCTTTCTTTCTTAAATTTAATTTTTTTTTTGTGGATGGTGATATAGATCGGCATGGACTTCTGCAAAATAGTAAAAACATGCAAACATTATCAATTTGCTGGGAATATGTATTTTCCTGATGTTACTTGCGGAAGTGAGGGAGGTGTTCCCAATTTCCAGGATACCCCTGTGAGGGACTTGAAACCCCTGCTACTGAACATTTTAATGAGCAAAGAAAAGAAATACTATACAGTAGCATATACCTGAGAGGTTACTTCTGGCATGGTTATATTGACTATGAATGTTGCATTAGACCCAACAGGCATCAGGTAGTTTAGAGGTCCAGTATCATCATCATCTACGATATAATCCATGTAATCTTCTACTGTGCCATTCTCTGGAGCAGCAATTGTTGTCATCACATCAATTTCCTTTTCAACTAAGTCCCTTGCATACAAAGTGTAAACAATGCCAGGTGTCTCTAGAGCTTCACTGGTTCCTGCCAGATATGGAATCACCGTATCCTGTTCCTCCTTTCTGAAGGACAACCATACCTCACAGATAATTGAGTAATGTGGAGCAATTCCATTATTGACAAGGCGAAACGTCTGCTGGCCTAAAGTGACAACCTCTGGAGCAAGTTCCGTGAAATGGATATGAAATGTGTGATTGGTAGTTGTCATGATGTCAGCGTTACTATCACTGGTGATGTTCACTGGATGGATGATATCCAGTTCAAGAGTGATGGGGATAATGACCAAATCAGGGCAGGTCACATTCATCCAGATATCCTTGATAGAGAATTCAAGAACATGAGACAAGTTAAACCCATATATGATGTCATCTTCTGCGTCTGGTACCTGTGTGATGTTCAATGGTGGAATAAGTGGTACAAATGGCTGGGCAGTGACAATTAGAGATCGTGATGAACTAGCCCAGTACTTTTCTCCCCTTACTGGAAATTTGAAATCCATTTTTACAGAAAATCTAAGTTTATCATCTTTAACTACACTTGACAAAATTCGTGAATTTAACGAGATACTAATTGCACGGTCAACGGCACGTCCAGTCTCCACGCAGATGAATGGTGTAAAAGAGAGAGAATACTGGACAATGATATACTCCCCATCCGGGTCTTGTTCTATCAGCCTCTCAAGGGTTACATCAGGATGTTCTCGGCTTGTTCCGCTGTGATATTTGTCTAATGTATCTATGACTGAGTCTAGGGTGATTTCATCAGCATCCATGTTATGTGTAGAATTGAACATATCATTAGCAGAGGTTTTTATCAGGTTTCTACCAAGTTTCCACACGGGTGTGACGTTTTCAAATTTAGCCAAGTACACACCATCAAGTTGTGGAACGTCAAGCGTGATGACCACCCCACGGTTGAATGCTTCAGTGTTGTAGATGACCACCGCATGAGCAATGAGTTCATGTTTCAGAGCAAATTTAGCCTCAGAAAATGTTGGAATGTTGCGAAACCATATTAAGGCATTTCTAATAGCCACTTCCTGGATAGCTGAAAAAAAGTGTAACTTGATATTATTAAGATCATAACATGACTTACTAACTCTAAAGTTAGTAGAAGTGGTTTGGCGCAGTGGCAACGACTTGGTATCCCAACTTTGTGGTCAGGGTTTTAATCCCTCGCTGTGCATTTCGCTTGTGTTCTAGAGCAAGACACTTTATCTGCATTGCTTCTCTCCACCCTGGAGTACAAGTGGATAGCTAGTAGGGTTAGAATGCCAAATGCACCGATTAGCTGCTACAACGTTATGGAATAGAGTTTGTGTTTCGTAAGTGTTTAGCCTGTGGTAATAATATGAAGTGCATTTGAGACCTTAGCATGATGCACTATATAAATCTACATTTAATGTAGTAATACTACTGTATTAATAAAGCGTTTATGCACATAAAAAAAATGTTCAACATGGTGCATTTTTGGCCGTTAACAGAACTGGTCCATGGCACCCGGCTTTTGGAAAAACTCGGGTTATAAATCCTGCTGGTTTGTTGATTAGCGATGGGTTCTTTAAATTATTTATTGCCACTGAAGCCCATGAGATGAACTGAGTGATTGTAATGGGTTTCTTGTTTACATTCCAATGGCTATATGTTGCTGGCCAGGACTCTCTTGTTAACTCCCAATGGACATTCTTAAAACCAATTAAAGTTAAGTTTATGGAGCTGCTAACAGCTCCCTCTGGACCATTTGACAGCTCACTCTCAACTATAAGACAGCTCACTATGGACCATTTCTGCTAACGGGGACTTTTGCCTCATGATATACAGTAATTACCAACTGCCTGGGTTGTTTGATTGAATGGCTTGGTGCTTTGTGTAATATTGGCTGTAACAGTTGATACTAGAATTTGGCTAACTTCAACATAGTTTAATAATTTACCTGAAAAGAGAAGGTACAAATGAAAGAAAAAATTGCATCTATACAATGGTAAGATTATTACCACGAAGCATTATTATTGCTATAAAGATGGTACCAGGATTATAGCAGTTTCTTACCAAAAATGGTACATTGTATACAAATGTATGCGGCATATAATAACTAACTGTATTATAAGTCGCTACAAATGTTTTTTTCCTACCCAGGCCTAGCCTACATCGATTCGTAAGCATAGATGAAATCATCAGTGCGTGGTGGTGGTTTTTAGTTGGTGTCTGCACCAACTAAATATGTGATTACTGTATCCTTCCAAATGCTTGAAGATATTTTAATTTCTTTGATAAATGTCGCTCAAAATAGTAAACTCATGACTAAATTCTTCAAATACAATAAAATATTTATTCTTCGTACTGATGTGTAAATTGTACAGTACATACCATTTGAACTGCACTGCTGTGCTAGCGCGTACTACAGCAGCAATCCACACGCACAGCTAAATGTACCGTAATACGCGCACAGATATAATAAATATATCACTATAGCTACCAATGACTACAACAGTTTCATTATGAAACTAACTTTAAACAGATGGCGATTTACTTACAAAGCAATTAGAACAGTGCTTATGTATACGCTAGAGGAAATTATTATAATCAGTTTAGATTAACACATTCAAAAAATTCCTTTCTTTTTTTTTTCTTTTATTAATCTAACATGAGTATATTAATTTCCACTAGTGTATGATATGCCACTATTCTAATTACTTATTACATCATAGTTGGTTGATAATACCATTACCAAATAATTAATAATGGTCTGGTAGTACAATGTCATAGTTCTATTCCTTATTTACCCAGGGTGTTCTATTCAGTGTGATAAAATTCTGTTTTGCCACAAGGCCCAGGCAGTGATGGCGCCAGGAATTTTTCGACAAGGGGTCCAAACCATGAGGCAAACAAGAGCCTCGGTTGAGGTCCTGGAATAACAAATCCCTGTTAGGGTTTACGGGTAGAGTTCTTACGTCTTATTCTTATGGTCCAAATTGTGCTTTTAGACTGATTGGCAATTAAAATAATTTTGAATATGCAAGTTATATCTTTAATTTTTAATCCAACAAGCTCGTCGTAGCGTGGTAGCAAATGCCCCGCTGACCCGACAGCGCCACCACTGGGCCCAGGAGCAACTTGCCAAATTACTTCATGGTTGGTCCATGTGCAGTGCAAACCGAGTCCAAAAATTATGTGTATTTAAAAGACAACAATATCTTTTTTTATAAAAATATTTTCTGTAAATAAGATTTCAAAGAAGGTTTTGATACCAGAGAACTTGACAGAAATGTTGAAGTCCTTCCAATCAATTGGTTCAGGAGGGGGGTAATAAAATCCAGTAGTGTTGACATTTAAGCAGTACTTGGCACTGAAGAACTTATCTGTCTTGGGTAGAGCTTTGAATGGGTTGTGAGTTGGTGCTGGAGTTGTAATGATAGGCTTGATCCTCATAATAACACGGGTACAACCATCTTCGTCTTCCTCCTTAATGGTCACGTCATATGTATATTGGCGACCATTTACAGTCTCTTCTGCCACTAAATCAAAATTAATATCACAGTGAATATATACCAAATTTATTCAATAAACGTGAGCGTAAACCAACAATACGCCCTTATATGCACCTAGGAGAGGACGCCTGCTGTGTTAAAGGTGCACGTATTATGTATAAAGGTGCACGTATTATGTATACTCTTGGATTACTTAAATTTGTAAGGGTTTTTTCTTGTTTTTGCAGATGGATGGCAGTATAATAATAGCAGTCAATGTTAATAAAATAATAAAACTTTCAATATACATGGTGCACACGAAAGTGTAATTACTTTATTATTAAGGAGGCTTCACAAGCTTACGAAAACGATAATGATTGTGGTTACATCATAATTTTTGTAGTGAATCCATCCCACAGCATATATGTCACAAAATAGACGCCTTGACTTTTAAATGAATCAACGATAATATTCAGCTTGTATATGTATTGTTAATGATGTGTTAAGCACATTATTGCACGTTATTGTTTTTAAAAGGTTGCAAAATCTCCATATTATTGATACTCGCCATGCAAACATTCAAAATGTAATCAATGTGTTAAACAATACACAAAGATTTAATGGCTTGACAAAAATAAATGTAAAAAAGACAGATATAAATGAAAAAAAAAGTTAGTGTCATTAAAAAAAGTGACATACACCAGATACTCTCCATTGTCATGCCACAGAAATCTTTCTCGTATGTCTCAGGAATTGGAGCAGAGGTTGGTACACTGAAGTCATATTGAGTGAAGAATATTCCACGATCGTTGATTTGGATGCAATCAGTTTCGTTAATATCTGTCGGACACAACATATTTTGAGGTTGTTCTGCAGCATTAAGCAGCTCCTCCAGGCAGGCTGTTGTGTTGACATGGTAACACTCTGAGGTCACATTCCATGGTAGGCAGGATGATACTGGGAACCGATAGCAGTACTCTGGGTCCCATGTTTGGTCTGGTGACCGATCATAGAACACACAATCTGTAGGAACATTAAGGAATTTAATAAATACAATATAATCAATAAATAATAGCAGTACCCTTTTTAAGAGGATATGTTCTGGAACAAAGAGTGTCCCCTTAATATAAGGGTGTCATGGCCGAAATCTATTGTAATAGTAATATAAGCAATAAGTATGTGTATCGTACATGTGTGGAAAATAAGTTGGAACAAAATATGAAGACATTATTCTGCTGGTTTAAAATAATTATTTAAAAATTGAGTTTTTACCATAATATAATCCTAAAGAAATTATAAAACAAGTGATGTGCAAGTGGTAGAAAACCAACTAAGCAGTGCATGTCATATCTATAAATATCGTCAAATTTTAATCATTTACGTCCAGACTATCAAATTTTATTTGACAAAAACATGTGACATGCCTAAAAATGGTGATGATGACATCACATCATTACCATATATAGGCACATCATGACCATATATAGGCACATCATGACTATATATGGGCATACAACAGTTTTGTGATAGTTTGGAGAGAGCTTTAGATTTCAGAAGTTTGAGGCCTTTTATTACAAAGACATGTATCAAGCAGCATAGGAAAGACCCTTATAATTTAAATTTCCAAGTCACTTTGTCACCTGCATTAGTATAGTGGCGTTGACATTTGTTGCTACTGACAATGATGACAACAATAATGATGATGATGATGATGATGATGAAAATGTGGGAAAATAAACATTACTAACCGGAATGCAAAGCATCATAGCAATACGGATATGAAGGGCGCCACCAACAGTCAGGTTTTTTCCAAGGCTCAGTCAAGTTGATCCACATAAGCTCAGAGATATCAATTCCTAGGTACAGCTGTTTATTTTTTTTTAAATTAATTAATATATATTGGTATTGACATCATTGTTCATTGGAAGGATTACCAAAGAAAGACAAATGCTGATACTACAGAATGGTAGAAGTTGTTCCAATTTAGGATAATAAGGAACAACAAGCATATATTCTTTCCTTTCTGTAAAATGATCACCAGCTGTTCTAAGGCTCCAGGGTTCTAATGGGTCCTTGATTGTTTTCATCATTTTCATGAGAGTACAAAACATACTCTTTTTGCTGAACCCCTCTCCCCACCCCCTGAAAGAGTACATGATAAAATGATGATTTTTTTTTTCCAGTGTTTAGTGGTTCAAAGCTTACACTAGCAGTGTGCAGTACATGATGAAACATTGTGGGATTTATATTGCGCAGATCTCTATACACTCTTTAAAATAAATTCATGCTATATAGGTCTAAAGGTAAACTTTGGCCATTTAGGTGAATGGCTAGGCACAAAAACGTAGGCTACACTTAAATATAGTCATTTTTTTACTATTTCAAAAGCATACACACGCCGCCAACCCCTCCCCCAGCGTACATTTTGCGACTATGATGAATTAAATGGATGACTCCTGAAGGCCAAATAGTTATTGCTAATAAATAAATTTAAATTTCATTATAAAAAGCCAAATTGAAAAAGATTTCAATCTCTGCTTTGTTCTAGCATGTATCTTCCTAAGCTTAACCTCGTTATTCTTAAAACAAACTTTAGTCTACTAGCACCACGACTAAAGCATGCGAACCTCCACTAAAATTATACCCCTCAGACCGATTTTTTAGTCAGCCTAGGGTCAGGCTAAATTGCTGACTTGAAATATTTACTCCAATAAACGTGCTATTTTGTAACTTTCGATGAAGTGAAACGAATATAAATGATTGTATAAATAGGTCCGATGTATCTCCAGTGTGTTCAAGAAAAGGGACATTATGTTTAGCTTCCAAAAGGCGAAATTGCTTAAATGGGGCATGTAGACAAATGCGGCTCTCACATAGGTACAGGTACTGAAATAAAACAAATAATCACAAATAAACTACCTTTTCATCAACTGGATCATGGTCTATGTACAGAATCTTCACTTCTTCAGTAATGTTGGTCTGGTTCCCCACATTGACGTCAAGAGCATAGCTCTGAAGAGTGATGTCCAAGGTATCTTGGTCAAATGTACTGCATGGAAGATCCACCTAAAATGGATAATGAAGACAAATTATTTACGGGAGCAGATGTCCAAAAGGTTGGACATAATTAAAGTTAAAGGTATGAAAAGCCAGTGTAAATGCCAAATAAGTCATTCTTAGAATTATCTTAGATAATGTTTTTAGCTGTTCAACACCCGCAAGCTAGTTACTGTAGTTTGTTTTAAACTACTTTATGTAAATGCTGTACCAAGCACACAGGGCAGTTTAAAGGCTAGCTAGCCATTTGTTATTTTCTAATAACGATGCTTTGTACTGTACTGGCACATTGGGATAGGCACAGCCTTTGGTAAGCTTTTTACTTAGGCTATTTCTATTTTCCTGTTAATGAATATCTCTATAGGCTTTGCAGTATTAGCCCGACATACAAAAATCGTCTAAAACCTTCTCAAATTTAGGGGTCCTCTACACAGATTACCTTATACACGAGAATTACGTTATTGTATAATGCAAATTTGATTTCAGGAGAACTCGAACAACAGGACTGGATTGAAGGGCTGTGGGGCCTGGGGCTGTAATTACAAGTGGGCCTAAATACTCTGTGACTAAAACATAAAACCAGATTTTCTGTGATTTTTTTCCTGGGGTTCGGGGCCTATTTTTCCCCATTGGGACCGATAAGCCTGGGACTGGCGCCCCAATATCCCCTATGTTAATTTGGCCCTGACAATAATGTTAGCATCTATAGCAACAACAAAAAAAATACAAATGACAAGAAACAATTTATACCTCAAAGGATACGTTGATTGCTGTATGTTCTGGTTCTACCTTGTAGCGTAGCACCCAAGCATGTTCTAGTACACTACCTGCATCGACCTTTTTAGGATATGTGTCGCCTGATATCACATAATCCAACTAATAGAAAACAGATAGAAATATAAACGTTAAAATATTGATAAATGAATAGTTTATTTTACTATAAATAATTATTTACTGTAAGTATATTTTAGTTGTAAAATTTCACTAAATGTCTCATTAGATACATCATCATGCAAAAAAATCAGAAATTCAAAACAAATTTAAAAACCAATTCCAAAAATTGTTAAAAATAGCTTTTAATTAAATAACTTAGCGCTGAAGATGTGGCTTGGACAAAAAAATAAAAAACATAACGAAAGCATGAAGCAAACTAATAAATAAAACTTGTAGTGCATATTACATCATCAACTGAATATCAGCATATTCAGTCAAGTTTGTCAATACTTAACCATTTATGTTGCCATTAATCACTGCTCAGATATAGCAGTGTTTGTTTGGCCAGAGCACCAAGCTAAGTCAAGAATGGTCAATTTCAAATTATAGTAAGCATTACCAGCCAAATTAAAAGAATTACTGCTTGGAATTTGCGACATGAAAAAATGGTGTAGTTATACACGTTTGTCTGGAGCATCCAAGCTGTTCTGTATTCTACTATTGCTCCCATAAGCCAACTGAGAATGCCAAGCAAAAATTAATGATCGATAAAACAATTTTTTTGTTTGGTTTTCAATTTTTCTGAATTTATTTGCATTACCTGTACTTCGGGAATTTCTTCCACCCAAACTTCTTCAGAACTCCGTGTTTTTCTACTTAAGACGCCATTTTCTTCCTCAGTAATATTCATTCCCCCTGAAAAATGGAGAATAAATATTAGTATTAGTATATATTTTTATCTCTATTACTATTTTTGTAAACCCTTTTTTTTATTTATATTTCATTCTACCGCAGTATTTTCTTACTATATTTTATCACAGTAATTAAGTTTTTACTGATTTTGTTATTGTTGCACATCTTTACGGCTGTGCCTCTGTTATAAAAGAGAAGCAATAAAGTTACTTACTAGAATCATTGTTTATCAATAATTCAATACACTCAATTGGTTCCCAAAGATGTTGAGTATAAAATCCAAACAAGAAAACAGAAAAGCCCAAAAGACCATGTGAAAGCTTGACTTTGAGCCAAGACTCGATCGATCACCAGCAATCACTTCACATTTCAACAGTAATATAAGTAGGCCTACTGTCATTCAAATAGAAATAAATGCAGAAAATACAAGACAATTTAATATAATTTGAATTTACCATTGTTAGAAGAAAAATACACTGCACCAATAGTTAATAGCCCAGCAACAGCAACCACAGCAATCCCCATGTCATTTAGGAATCATTGTAGGGCCTAGAAGTAACGAAATATGACAGTACACATTAGTGTTACAAAAAATGTCTGTTGGTTCAACAAAAATGTCTGTGCAATTTCAAAAACTGAGCAAGCCAAAGTAGAGTTTTATAATATATAACTGTGAGTAAATCTTGTGGTTTCAATGCTCTATTAAAAACAAGTTTTCTTTACCATTGTGGATTTCAAAATTGCATATCACACAGAGATTAAAACAACTTTACACTACTACAGTCCACACTTATAAAATTAAAATATAACACTCTGTTTCCTAACGTACACAAACTTATCATTGTTAAAAATTTACGTAGATAATACAACAAACAGAAACATGCTGACATCAATTTGCAAAAAAAAAAAAAAAAGACATACAGTGTCTGCTGCTGATGATGTCATACATATGAAACTATTGCTTGTGTTTACCAAGCCAATTGCAAAAATATTTTTGTTTATTTAAAAAAAAACTGGCCGGATAATGTACTGAAAGCGAGTCATTAGGATGTCCTGTGGATGGGGAGACACGCTGGATAAGCCCATACTGTCAAGTTTTTTAATTGCGCGGAGGATATCCAGAAGCGGATTTGGGGGGGGGGGCACCCCAACCAAACCTTTTCGAAGGTAAAAAAAGGAAACAAAAAAGAAAGAAAGAAAAAATTGATCATCCAAAACGCCTCAGGGGTTATTTTCGGGTGTCTAGTTTGAACATCTCTGGATCCGCCAATGATATTTAAAAAATCAGCTCAAATTTGCATTAAAATTTGCTAGGAAAATAGGTGCACAGGATCATAATTAATTGCTGCATCATTGCATTGTCTGGTTTTTAGGCCTATGCTAGGCCCCTAATTCTCATTAGATCTGTTCAAAGGCCATCTGTAAAGTTTTTTAATTGTGAGGATATCTAAAAAATCAGATCAAACATGCACGGAAAATCGCTAGGCCTAGGTAGGAAAATAGGTGTGCGGAATCGTAATTGCTGCATAATTGCATTGGTTATATTAAGACTTGTTCGAAGCCTGTCATTTTCGGCAAAATCTGCGTGGAAATCTGCCCTTACTTTTGTGCGGAGGATGCCAATACTATCCGGTTCAAAGCCTAACTTTCGGCAAAATCTGCACAGAAATCGGCGCTTACTTTTCGAAAAGTGCGGGCCTTACTATTTACAGTCTGGAGCCAGGCCTAGGATAGTATGGCCAGCCTAGCCTACCCCGCCCGGCCTACTACTAGAGCCTTAGACCTTGGTCCTCTGCTCGCTACGCCTAGAGAGAGGGCCTGCTAGGCCTAGGCCTAGGCCATATAGATTTACCAAGATTTGCATGAACATGAAAGAACATGAAAAAACCTTTCAATATTCTAAATGGCCTAGGCCTAATACTAAATTCTACAGAATGCATGTAAAATAACACTTTCGGGCCTTCTAAACAGATTTACTTAACGTTGAAAAAATTGAAAAACTACCACTCAGATTTGCTTTTTTAATATGCGCGCCATCTGAAAGTTTCCGCAATGGGGAAATCCTCACATAGCATAGAGGGCGCATTCTCCTTGAATATTTTTAGATGTGACGTAATGATGTTGTTATTAAAGTTTTTGTAATGAAAGATGGTGGTAGACGTAACATGAGAAGTTAGTTTTATTGCGCTAAATATATTACATATTATTTATTTCATATTCGGAGTTATGACATAATGTCATTATTTTATTATCCATGTTAATTAATCGAAATTGTAGGCCTAGGCCATAGCAGCCAACTACAACTTAACCAGGGCCTAGCTAGGCCTACTACTAGCCAAAGTAGCTAGGCCTAGCCCCTCCTCCTAGGCTAGTCTAGCTTGCTAGGCCTAGTCTAAGTTAGAGAGTATGACTTTCCTTCCGCCAACCTCGATCGGACTACCTTTCCATGGATGGGGCGAGGAGGGAACCCGATGTGGAGTTGCTGGCAAGAGACTGAGGCCTCATTAGACTAGAGTCTAGGCTAGGCCATTGCTAGTCTATCTAATGTAGTCCTAACAGTCTATCTAGACTAGCTTGCAAGGGCAAGTAGTATAGATAGATAGGCCTAGCCTAGTAGAAGTAGAGCGAAGAAGTCTGGCCTTTTGCTGATATCATGCTCCGGATGTTTGCACGACTGACTGAGTTGTGGACAACCTATCTTCTGAATCAGTTAGGTACGTGACAACAAATTTTAAATGCAAGGAATTTAACAAACAGATTGGTTTGATGATGAGGTCAAAGAGGAAAATGTTAACTATGTCATCAGTATTTTCAGGTCATAGGGAAAAGATAAATACGACCTCTGCAGCCAAAACAATAGAGGGCTATGTAGACAGTCGAGTTACTTGCAGAAAATGATCGCGGTGCCATGATATCGCGCTCTCAACAGCCGATAGTCACATACCTAAATCAGTTATTCACACAACTTCTCATGCGAACAACTAGAACAGTTACGGCAGTGGTTCCCAACCTTTTTGCGGACCCCCATGACCAAATATTACTCATTGTCCATATCTCAACAATCGGATTAGGCCTACAGATAGAAGATGATTTGTCATGAAACTAGAACATTAAACAATGGCAAATCCTGGAATTTAAAATAAAAGCCATCACGTCAATATGGTACAACATTTTTTATGTCTACGCCACTTCTAGGTGGCCGGAAATAGCACTGTCAGACTCAAAATTTGAAGGTAATTTTCTTTTATTCCCATCCCACATGGTTGATATTCTGCCAATAAGATTATTGATGGAAAATAATAAGCCAAATTACAACATCTTGGATCTTGGAATTCGACATAAACAAGAGGGGAGTGGTTCAGCAGATAGGGGATTTACGCTACCCTGGTTGGGGCTGAGGTAGGAAAATGTTTATATTTCTGGCACTTGTAGATGGCTGGAAATGACACTGTCAGACTCAACATTTGAATGTAATATTCTGTTATCCCCCATTTACTTTTTATTTACTCAAATTGAGGGCTCCCTCCTAATTTTTTTTTTTTATTTATTCAATATTCAGGTAAAAGCAATTATGGGCCGCACACATAGGGTTTGTAATTCATTTTCGCAGGCTACAAAAAAAATCACTCCGAGGCACATGTGGCCCACGGGCTGGCACCTTGCCTACCTGTGCTAAAAACCATGACAGACAAGTTTGCAACAGGATTTTACTTTCCTACTTAGGCGAGACTTATTTTTATACACTGTTTGTTTGTACTCGCCTGGGTGGGGTTAATGTGATACAGTATCTCACGCATAGCTAGGCTATCAACACTGCTGATTTGTATAATTTATCTTGTTCTAAATAGGATTCCTGTTTTAGTTGTGGCAGGTATTTGGATACGATATGTCAAGTCTTTTCAAAGGCTACCACTTTGCTCTTGAGCTGGACTTCAGCTTCCGGTATAAGCAGAAGCAAGAACTGAAAAAGAAAATAACCAACAATGGTGGAGTGATATCATATGCTCTGACAAAAGAGGTAGAATTTATTTTTATTCAAAATATTCACTCTTAGGATGTAGTTGATTTTGAATGCAGACTTCTCAAGTACTACGGACCTTAGTGTTTAATGTTTTTGCCGCTTTCTTGCCCATAACTTTTGTAATATTACAAGCAATTTGGCCCATTGGGCCACCATTTGTAATACCTCTGAGTGTTTTATCAATAAAGTGAAGTGAATTTCCGTAGTTAGGCCTAGTTTCTTCAGAAATTTTGCTTAATTACGAACGTACGGAAATAGACAAAAATACAATGGAATTGATCATAGGCCTATACCCAAAAAATATATAAGTCCAGAGCAAATTACTTTGGTTACATTGTCCCTAGAGCTGGGCCCAGAGAGTGACTTTTACAGATGGAGAGTGTAGACCACCTCAGCCCCACCATGGTTGGGGCTTAGGTAAGAAAAATTATGATTATGGCACCTCTGTTGGTCAGAAATGGCACTCTCAGACTGAATTTGAATATAATTTTAATTTTATGTTTATGCAAGGAAAAAATAAATTCTCCAGGGCATTTATTCAAGGGAGGCGTTAATTCCAAATGAGGCTCTAAATGGGGTGTGTTTTTCTAGGCATTGGGAGTTTATTCGAAATAGGGCGTTTATTTTTTGGTATGAATATGTGGACAATAAAGTACCTATTATTGTTTAAGTTATTTATTTGTTTGCCTACTATCTGTAATGATATTGCTATATTAGTATTGATATATATTATATTATATATACCATTACTATATTGTATATAGCCATATTTTTAGTACAATTTAATTACTAAGGTCTTAATGCATTTGATTGTATATAATATGTATCACCTTATTCCAGTCTTAGAAATCAAGGTAAAGCACTTAGTGATTTCATTAAATACGTTTAATTTAGCAATAATTAGATTTTTTTTTTTTTTTTTTTTTTTTTTTTTTTTTTTTTTTTTTTAAAGACAAACTTCCTAATTGTCAGCAGTATCAACCAAGCTAATACCACATATAAAGGACGAACTGCGCAGAAGAATGGAACGCCGATAGTAACTATTTTGTTTATCAGCAGATGTGTTAAGGAAGGCCGAGTTGTTGACCCCACTGCCTATCTTGCTAATGGTAGCAAGCAACTAGCAGGATTTGAAAGGGGGAAAATACAAGGTATGGATGGGAAGATCAATACAACCTAAAGCATAGCTTATTCTCTGTCCTCACTTTCAATTTTCCTTTGACAAAATCTGTTATATGCCCATATATAGTCATGATGTGCCTATGTATGGTCATGATATGATGTCATCATGACCATATATAGGCATGTCACATGTTTTTGTCAAAGCTTAACACAATTTATTTTTTTTAATGTTAAAGCAGATTGAATAGGTTTGCAATATTTGTTAAATTATTTTTTTCATTATTTAAAATATTAATGGTTCACATTTTTGTTCATTTTATTTTCGTTTTTAGTATTCCAGTATTTTAATTATTTTTTTTTTTTATTGTTATTACTATTATTATTATTTCTGTTATTATTTTCTTTATTGTTATTGTTGTTGTTAATGTTGTTGTTGCTGTTATTGCTACTTTTGTTGATGTTGTTGTTGTTTGTTGTTAGTATTAGTATTATTATTATTTTAATTATGAATATTTTGATGTTGTTTTGAATATATTTAATTATGTATTAAAATATTATTATTTTTCAACTTTACAGTACTTTCATTTTTATAATTTCACTTAAATTGAAAGCTTAAACTTATATATGAATAGCTTAATGTAAGAAATAATTATTGAACTACTAATACCTGTGCCTGTATTTTCTTCCAGTTAAAAACCCTCTCAAGAAATCAGCCACAGCTAAGTCATCTACATTCAATTTGAAAGCGTTTCCGTATGTTTGTTTTTTACACATCCAATCATAAACTTTGAAAGTATTTTCATGTGGTAGTATACTTACACGACATTTACACATACAAGGGTCGTAGGCCACCTTTGAGTTTGTCTCTGTTCTCAAAATGCACTTATAGTACACAGACAGCACTGCAATTTCAGAATAAAATATGCTGGCTTGGGGCCCGGCAATAATTAGACATTTCTGCATATTTAGCATTGAACATCTTTAGCTATATTCATACATAATACGATGTGTAGCAAATACACCGTGTGTGACGATCATCCTCTTTATCCAGAAATATCAGTTAGTTGGTAAAACAAATCTTCATTGCTTACTTCCAACTTAATTTTTAAAATGCATTATTTATCAGAGTCTGGACATGGGGTGACAACAAGGCTCCTGACTTCAATGAAGACAGTTATGAAGTGGCTAAGAGCTGTCTCCTCTTGGTAAGTGTCTTTTATACTTCACTGCCAGGAACGCGAATTTACATCTGACAAGGTTCACTCGGGGCACCAAAGACACAAGTTTACGTCCATACCTGTCTAAACATACATACCACATTGCATGTACACTAATTGCAACAGCCCATGAATTCCACGTCGGCGATTGCCGACCATATTGCCGAGCCAGAATTGCCACAGGACGACAATTTTTTTGCCGACCTAGGCGTAGATTTCTTTCTTCACTATTGTGAAGTATATGTGTACATGTGTGGAAAATCCCAGATACTGTGACGTCACGATTAAATCGTATATAATGACCTATAACTCCATAAGAAATTGCGATGTTGCGAAAAAGCGATTTTAAGGTTGATTATATTATAAATGGCATATAAAAATTCCCCTCTAGAACAAAAAATCGTTTTGCTAGTTCTCTTTTAAAGAACAGATGACAGTCTGTGGTGATACGATCATAGCTTTTATGAAAGTGATGTTGCCCATGCTAAAGATAACGCTAAAACGACATTTCTTCAGTGATTTTCTTACGTAAAGCATATGTATTATACTACAATATTAAAATAATACAAGTACGTCTATTCTTTCAGCAACAATCTATTGATTTAATAGAGATAACCAAATCACGATCCGTAGATGACGATGTAAAGTCAAGCATTCCGAAAAATTGTAGTTTATACTATAGGTACAGTAGTAAAAATTGCCAAGACTGCCAACCTTAAATTTTGCTGACCTAATTTTTTTTGGGCTGTGGAAAGGATTTTATTATTGTGGTGCCCTGTATGCCTTGGTCTGTGGGATAAAGCTAGGAGAAAGGATTGGCAGTCAATGTGTTGCTTTGCCTCTCCAAATTTGAAACCCGAACTATCTCTCTTTCATTTGCGTTTGCGGCAGATTGTGCAATAATGCTGTGGAGATATTATTGACATTTATAAATAATTATAAAAATTTAACTATCCATGGTGGGAATGAGGTGAGCAAGAGCCTCCATGAAAGTCGAAGTTCCCTCTGGCCCCCCCCCCGCCCCCCCCCATTTCAAATTCCTGTATCCGCCACTACTGTTTGAATAGTTTCAGAGATGAGATGAGTGATTTTGATATATGCTAATGTTTGTTTTATAAACAGAAGTCATCAAGGTCCAATGATGGTGACCTGTTTTACCAACTTGAACTTCATGTTTTGCCGCTTGCCAGCCAAGCATCTGAAAATGAAGAAAACAAATACCTGTACCGTTTTCGAGTTTTCTGCCATTATGGAAACTGCAAGGAAATCAAGGTGGGTATGGGTTGGTTTTGGTTCCTATCTCTAGAACATTAAAACCAGCGTAATGTAATTGCTTGAAGTATGTATTGATAGTTTGTGTTTGTACACTTACGTTTACTTAAGCAGGGCACAGCCGTATGACTGTCGCACGACGAATCCAACTCCACTCCATGTGAGCGATAGATGACGCAACGCTGTCTGCTGATTGTTGGTAGCAGTCTTAACCTATCATCATTAAAAACAATCCATTGCGTGTGCGTCATCGCGTTGCGTTCTTTATAGAATCTGGTCAGCCAACAATTATCGTGCGCAGTGCGTGTCCGGCTTTAAACCTAATGCTATTATTGGTTAGATAATTTAAAATGGATTTTGGAAGGAAGAGGAGAAGGGAAAAGAGGAATTGGAAAAAGAAGAGAGGATATGCTGGATGATCTGATAAATGGTAGATATGACACTTTAAAAAGACCAGCACAAGATCGTGAAGCAAGGAGAACATATGATAATTAGTGGCTCCTTTATACCTTGTTTCGCAAACTTATTTTTTATAGATCGTCAGAGTAGGGCGAAAATAAAATTTTGGTTTTTCATTTAGAATATCATAGTTTTGCCAAAAACATTCAGACAGAGGAGAAAATGAAAATAAAATTTTATTGGTGAATGTGAATAGTGTAGTAAAATGCTTTAAATGGTTAAATGCTTTTAAATTTATGTAATTATGAGGAAATATACATATCTTATTTTTGGAGATTTCAAGGCAGCTGTGGGTGTAGTAAAAATAAAGAAAAACTTTTTTTCTGAAATTTCCATTTTTTTTTTGTGGAAGCAGGTGCTCTAATTGGCCAAAATGAAATTGTATATTTATTCAAAATCACCATTATTTGGCAGGTGGTGTGTTCACTGAACAATGTATAAGAATAGGCTCCCAGCGGGATCGTGTGTCTACTGCCTTATACAGGAGATTTTGTTTTTTGTTATTTTATGTTCTTCAATATGCAGATGTGTGTATTATTACTAGCTGCAATATTATGTAATTCTCCCCAGGGAGCTGAGTATGTGTTCCATATGTGTTTGATCCAATGACCGGGGTAGTAATGTGAAGCGCTTAGAGGCATTGTGCATGAAGCGCTATATAAGAGCGACATATTATTATTATTTTAGTAGTGTATCTGGATTTTTTCATGAAAATTTTCTTTCATATCAATATTCTGTATAGGCCTACTGCTATATTACACTAAAAACACTTTAAAAATTAGTAACTCCCTTCAGTTACCACATCATGTCGTTGATCACAAAGAGTACTACCATGTTTTAGAGGGCGTCTTTCAAATGACAGTAAAAGGCGTTCGTGGCGAACGCGTGCTGCGTCTCAAATACGCATGTTTGAGTTTTGAATGCAATTTTGTTTGAGTTCTGAACGCTATTCGATTGTCAATAGAGTGCCCCGACCCCGTGTAGTAGTACCCATCAAGTCTAAACCGGATTTACCCTTTTCCGCCATCTTTAATTGCTACATCATGACATAGTGTCTATGCTCCCGTTGGGGGCAGTAGACACAAAAACGTCTTGTTTAATTTCCCACAAAAATTAAGTATGTAAGTAAGGTCCCACAAATGTAAGTATGTGTATGTATACACAAGCGTTTGTGGGACAGGCGCATATTCCTGCCTCTGATCTGATTGGTCAGAACTTGTCAAACTTAGTTGATGCTTGGTTATTATGAATGGTTTGATCGAATGCTGGGTTTTTGTTTGTTTTATTTTATTCGTAATTCCTGTCATGTAATGATTTCTATTGTATAAATTTTAAAGAACAGTCTATTTCGTGAATACTCAACTGGATAAACTGTCTAATTGCCTTTGTTCTTAACCGGAACTCCCCTTTCAATAAAATAAAATAGAATAGTCGATTGATTTGTTTATTCTATAAGACTGCTTTTTTTATGTTTCAGAATGAATCTAGTGGTGAAAGAGAATTCCGTTACTTAACTTCTAGTTCTGATGCCCTCAACGTATATTCACAGTTATACCGGATCATGACGTTCCCGGACAAAGGATACAAGAAGTGTAATAAGTTTATTTCAAGGTGGATTGGGTCTGATAAACAGAGAAAGGTAGACCGACATCAATTTCTTAACATTATTTTTAGCTTTAATCAGTGCTATATATTTGATTTTACTCGGTGTAAAAGGATAACCCACGAAAGTCTGAAGAATACTTATTTCCAGTGGGCGCCTTCTCATGGTGAATGGGCAGTGCACCTGGGCACAATCCCCAACTCTTTTCTGAAGAGTGTACTGCGTTCTTTAACGTACACATAAAATGCACACGGGACCAACATCTCATCTGAAAGATGGTGTGCTATCCTAACTAATATTTCAGCCCACTAGCTGAAATACAAGGAGAGCAGCGATGGGAATTGAACCGGGGATCAAGAGATCTCCATGTTTCAGAGTGACTACCACCAGTTTAGCTGACTAAGCTAAGTTGCTCTCTATGAATATCAATGTATTATTTGTTGTTATATTGACATATTGTATATTGTTCCAGTGGAAGCTAGGATGGCAGAAACTTGTGGCATGTGACCACAGTGTTTTCAAAATTAATCATTTTGATTCTTTTGTTTAAGATTTCACTGGAGTCTAGCTATGAATCTGGTGCCACATCAACTGAGGTAGTTGATTTAGTGGAGCACATTTGGCAAGAGGCAAATGAGCAAATTAAGGGGATGTTGTCTTTACCTGAAGAAACCATGAAAAAAGAACAGGTAAGTGAAGTCTATTAGAATTACTTTTATGTTGAACCAAAAAATGTAACAATAGATTACCTGTAACGTGAAGTCTGTTTTGTGAATACATACTTGGATAAACGAACAACAAAGGAATAAAGATGGTGCTTGGGCATAGCTGCAGTCACATACTGGGACAATCAGACTGTTCTATTTTTGTTGTAGGGGTGTTCTTAAATGATCAGTTGCAATTAGTTTGTTTATCCTGGTAAGTATCTCACTCATAGAATACAAATATCACTGATTTATGTAATTTCTGTCGAAACAAAAATATCTAGTAGATTATTATCAAAATTATAAGACTACCCCTGTGTTTTTTTATCGTAATTTGCTATTTGAAGCCTTGTCTTACACGCGAGGCATGTTTTTTGCATATTGGTTAAGTTGTAGCAAAAATTGAAATTCAAGTTATTGGTATTTGCATATACCTGTGTATGTAATCTATGAGGGGTCATGCATTGGAATTGGACATGTCAAGTCTTAGTTATTGGGAAGAGAATGTACAGCACTCCTAGAGTCAAGATAAACATTATTTTGAGTAAATGCCTTTCAAATTTTTTTTTTTTTTGCATACACTGTTTAATGGCAATAACTACAGTACCAAAATAATGTTAAATAAACAATTTGTTGACCAGACCAGAACTAAGAATTTAAGACATGATTAATTAGGAATTAAACTTTGATCTATAGTGAAAAAAAAATGATTTTTAGGTCATTTTTGAGTTCCCATAAGTTATAGCTCATTTTACTGAATACTTTTTGCCAAGACATGCCTCATAAATTCTATGCACTCTATGAATTGACTGCCATTTGTTGTTATTATTAAAGCCTAAATTTACACAAATTGATAGCATCATTGTAATTAAATTTTCAAGCTTGAGTTATATCTCATCAACAGCTATCATACATTTCAAGTGAACTTTGTTTTTGCTGTTCTTTCATTAGGTTGATAAACAAACTTTGGAACAATAATGAGTTGAATGTAATGCTTCTATTTTGTAGCAGAAACAATTTTGACATCAGGAACATATTTGCTGTTAGTCGATCAATTGAAGAAACAAACTTTACGCATCGCCTTGGAAACAAGAAACTTCTATTCCATGCATCAAACCCTGCCAACTTCGTGGGGATATTTACAAGGTTGGTATTGTTATCGCATAATTTTTATTTCAGGTAGTATATAAAATGAAAAACTTCCGGTTTTTATATTTCAAGGTTAAAGTTTAATTTTATTAAGTTATTATTACGAAAAAGAAAAAAAAAATTGTATTAACTTTCATGTCAAGTGTACTGAAAATCACACTACATGTATTCCCGCAGGAAATGTAGCATCTTGAATTTAAAAGTAAACTACCGTAAATGATCTATACAGTGGCTCTCTTGAATGCGGACCGCTTTCAAATTTAAGGCCAGCCACTCTGTGTCTTATGACCGTTGGCCAAAGAATCCATCTCTGCTCACTGTCAGCGTTAGAGGACGCGACCTCGTCTGTTGATTGCTGGTTACAGTCCAAATGAAATGTCATTAAAACGATCTGTTGCATGCAAGTTGTGGCGTTGCATTCCCCATAGAATCGTGTGAACTGACAAAGATTGTGCGCAGTTAGTGCATGGCTTACAGTGTAGCACTAGACTTGATTTTTTTGACTGAATCCCGCTTTGGAATAAGTACTCCTAAGTTTTTAGTGGAATAATTTACTGTTAGTAAATATAACAGTGTTTTAAGCGAGAAACATACCCAGCATGCTTTGATGTTTTGTACAATACTATTGACTAACCGATCTCTCATGGATTAAATAATGCTAACCTTGCAACTAGTCAGATAGGTCTACATGCAATACATATAGCTTTACAATAATATAAATTAAAGTCTAATATATTGGATGGTGCTTGTTTATTGTAGAGGTCTTCTCCTGCCTAAGATAGTAGTGAGTGATTTCGGTGGCAAGAGAAGGGATCCTGGCAACCTTGGAAGTGGAATTTATTTTACAGACAGCAGCAGGTAGGAAAATTATTTAGTGTCATACATAGAGGTTTGTATTAAGGTTACCTGTCAATTAATCAAACTTTGATGATCAAAAACATTGAAAGATTTTTAGATAAATTATTGAAGTAATTTGGCGCAGCGGTTGTGGTTATGCTTCTCAACCTGGAGGTCGGAAGTTTAATCACTAGCTGTGCAATTTGCTTGTGTTCTTAGGCAAGGCACTTTATTTACAGTTGTCTCTTTCCACCCAGGAGTACAAGTGGGTACCTGGTAGTTTCAAACAAAAGTTGGGCTGATTCAGGCTGTAACGTTACAAAATTCTACCCAGGGAGAGCATTTTTTTTTTCATGATGAATGCATGAACCTTTAATTATTCAATCACATTGGCTTTGAATTTCTCTTTTCTCAAAACTATTTTATAAGCTAATGTAAAATTTTTCTTCTGTTAGTACAAGTGCCAAGTATTCATCTCGAAGTACAGTTAAAGGATCCCGATTCATGCTGGTTAATGAAGTTGCCCTTGGCAAGTGTCTGGATATGACAACTAAGAATTATAAACTATCGTCTGCTCCAGAGGGCTACAATAGTGTCCATGCCGTTAAGAGAGCAGTTGGGAAGAAGTCAGTTTTTGAGGTAATTAAAATAAATCTGCCACCTTGTTTTTCAAGATAGAATTCTACCTATGTTTATAATGATGTCTACTGTATAGTTATATATCATTAAATATTTAATGACCTGATTATTTAAAACTTCATTATTGATGTTTCTACCCTAAATAAATTATTTACAATTTTTTTTATGAAATCGCCTCCTAGAAAAGCCATAATCCACTTTCAAGTAAGGAGTTAAATATTTATTTCTTATATTTATATGCCCTGAAATGCTTGCACCTAGTGCTGAAACATAGCCTGAGCCACTTCACAGCCCATCACAAACGATGCAAATTGGGGTATCTGTGCTGTCCAGATAATTACATATCTTGGTATTATTGGCAAAAGTTAGAAACTATATATACACATTTCATGTAGGGAATGTCTTGTAGAAAATTTATTGTTACAAATTGACGAATATAAAATATACACCTATTTGGTCACATTTTGACTGATGACTTCATACACATACAATACATACTTCATTCAAAAAAAACTTTCCATTATGGCTATTTTGTGAGTAGTTACTGAGTTCTTATCAACTGAATCAAAGTGGGATGTCACATTTTATGCGATGGAAATTTTTGTGAGGTCTTGACATGTACTGGGCCCTTTTTACTGGGCCCTTTGAGAGAACAGTAGCATTTTACTGAAGAAGAAACCCAGTATAAAGAACAAATAAAAAGAAAATAAATAAATGTACAATGTTTTTGATTGAATCTAACCCATCTTTCAAAGACATTTTTAGAAGCCTATGTTAAGAAAAAGAAGAAAACTGGATACACTCTTTAATTGAACAACTTGTGTTCCATATATTTTACCCATTTTATATTTTCTACCTTCTGGCGGTTCTCTTGCAGGATAACGAGTATGTTGTGTATGATGCATGTCAGCAGCGTATTCGTTACCTCATCGAGTTTGCACTGCCTGAAGATAAGATCATAAGCTTTATTCAGAAATCTCTAAAGGAAACGCTGGATGAAATTGATGATTCACAAATGATGGATATTAGTGAGTAGCTAATGCAATGTATCATATGATTGGAGTGGAGTTAAATAGCTTGGTGGTTAAGATGCTTGCATTCCAATCCCAGGGTCATGGGTTCAATTCCTGTCAGTTGCAGGACTTTTTCTCACGACCAAAACAACTCCACTCCCTAAACCTCATATTGAGATTTAGTTTGTGTACAGCATTATGTGTGTATGTTTGTCTTGTGTTTCGTGGACTGTTCTATGTGTACTGGGCCCTCTGGGAGAACAGTAATTTGTTACTGAAGAGGAAACCCAGTATAAAGAACAAATAAATAAATAAATAAAATAAATAACTAAAAAAGAAACAATACAAAATCAGACACAACAATAAACATACAAACCAAAAATATGGAAATATATAATCAAACACGCAAAAAAAAATATACAAACCGATTCAAATTATTTAATAAATTGTGATAACTTCTATATTTGGGGGTTTTTTTTGGGGTTACTCTATAAATGCATCTCAAGTTTTAATAGTTATTTTGTACAAATTAATAGGCGATTAAAAGAAGTTGAATTGAAATATTTATTTTTCTATTGATAATTTAGGTATAGCTGATATACAATCACTGCAGGATCCATTGGACAAGGTGCAGGCAGGGTTACAATCCAAAGACAATTGTTCTGTTCCACTGACAGCAGTACACATCAGAGCCAAGCTTATTGACCTCGCTGCCCAGGTTAGGCTTATCACATGTATATTTTCTGTGTGTCTTAGGTGAACTGAGAGATATTAGGAATGATCTGACAATATCAGTAGATAAACTGATCTTACTTAATAGCTAAGTATACGCCAAATAAGGACATGCATGCCCAGTGGGGAATCCAGTAGTTTGAAATGGAGGACCCATGAGGGAGGGACTTTAAGAAGTGGAAGTCTACACTACCTCAGCCCATCCATAGTTGGGGTTGAGATTTAAACTTATGGTTATGGTACATGTAGATGGCCCGAATTAGCACTCTCAAACTTAAAATTTGAGTATAATAATATTTAATTGGCTGGGACCCCCTTGATTCTGCCATTAAAGCCAACCGATATTTTGATCTTTATAATAGATCATCATGCGGAATGACATGTAATCAATATTTCCAATTACAAATACCAAAAGATTTATAACAATTAACTAATGAAAAGAAGTTTAAAAATTTAACCAATATGATATCCGATGGTGTAAATGAGTAAATTATTATAAGTTCAGAGAAGTATTATCCACAAACATGAGAGGTAAAAAGTCAGTCAATAAACAGAGAGTGCTAAAGTCTTCTGCAAGTCGCGGTAGTCCGCACTCCTGTGGAGTACTCTTGAAAAATCATTCATTTCTCGCAAATTCTTTATATTTTTATGTTTTTACTACTGTATTATCAATCGTTTGGAATGCAGTGCCAAAGTATATCACCATGTACAGCAATATAAAATCGTATGTGTTAAGAAAGTTCATTTCTTAACAAATTGAATTGAACCGAGGACCTAGATATCTTTAGGTTCCCAGTTCAATTCCCGCTGCTCTCCTTGCGTTTCAGCTGGAGGGCTTAAGCGCAAGTTGCAATAGTACACCTTCTTTCGGATGAGACATTTAAGCCGTTTAAGGTCTCATGTGCATTATGGCCCATGTGAATGTTAAAGAACACAGTACACTATTTGGAAAAGAATAGAGAATTGTCTCCCGGTGTACTGCAAAATCATCACCGGAAGGACTCCACAGGAAGTCTTTAGACGTTTGTGGGTTATCTTTGGTGTTTACACCGAATAGATCCATCCATCCATTTAACCAAGTCTCCCAGATATGGCTTCTTCCAACTTGGGACCCCTGTAAACGTAGCTTGTTAATGTCACCTTTGATAGGTTGTGGTATTGCAAGCCTACAGAAACGAAAACAGTTGCGCGATTGAGGCTAAGTATGTGTTTCCACTGGATGACATGGCCGCAGTATGTGGCTTCGAGGCTTTCATTGATGGCAAACACATTGTTGGTGAGGTCAAGGATAAAGATGTCGCTCATCGGGAATACAGAGAGGCTATTAGCAAAGGTCACGGTGCATACCTGATGGATGAAGAAACACCTGTAAGTTTTCTTTTATTCTCTCATTAGCTGTTATTGTTTATTATGAATATACTGTAATAATAAAGTACAGTAATTATTATGAAATCATTTGGCATATAGTATCTACTTGCTGTTGGATTTAGATAATTTTTTTTAATTAAATAATTACCACATCATTTTTTCATTGTTGCTGTGATAGTTGTTTTTTGTATATTTTCTTGCATGAGGATTATACTCAACTTCTTTAAAATGATTGTACAGTAATTAGTATTAAATATTGCCCTCTATTGGCTGCAAAGGGATCCTTTGCTCATGCTGTGTTTGAACTGTGTTACTGTTTATGCTCAATAAAGTTCACTTGTAGCAAAAAGGAGTTTTTTCTTATATGATTTATGATTATGTATATATATTTATTTATGATTATATTATATAGATACAGTACATAATAATAATAATATTTAATAATAATAATGAAATTGATATAATGACAATAATTATTATTAATTACTGTACACTTTCAAATATTAACAGTATTTTTGTTAGACATTACAAACTTAAGTAGCATTATTTTATTATAAATTTTAAATGATAAATTGCTGTCTTTTTATAGCAAAAAATAATACCTGTATATTGTTTATTAACATAAATCCTGTCCACCTAGGATGTCTTCACGGTTAGTGTAGGCAATCTGCCTCCAAACTCAGAAGTGTTGATCAAGATTACGTACGTAGCGGAACTAGCGGTAGATTGTGGGAATATTGTGTTTAATCTTCCGGGAAGCGTAGCTCCTTGGAAAAAAGATGGTGCTTTATCTGTGAAAACTCAAGCAGAGCTATTGACAAAGAAAATTTCTGGTCTGCCTGGGTAAATACAATTTATTATACTGTTATCTGAGCAAAAAATGATATTTATATGCTTATGTTTATTTGTATCTTTTAGTAACATATGAGCAAGAGTGTGCAATAATGACCCAAGTTTGTACTGTAAAACCAGAAACTTTTGAAGCAGAAAACTTCTGCGGAATTAAACTTTCGCTAACTGATAATTTTCGCAAATCACAGAAGGCCTAAATTTTATTCATAAGAGGAATACCATACAAAAGCTTTTAAAATATCGTATCATGAGTTCTAGGCCTGATAGGACTGCAGCCACTGTCTAGGCTACAGTAGCTATGCTAGGTGCCATAAGCCTGTCCCCCTCAGCTGCTAGGACTGGCCATCACAGGCACAGTTAATTATGACAAAGAGAGAAATGTTTACACACATACAGTATTCTCTTATGATATTCCAAAATTTTGTATTATGTTCAGTCATACCATGAACAAGGCATATCAAATCTTGTGTTTTATTAAACAAATTATTTTCCAGTAATATTGATCCAAACACATTGATTAATGATGACTAAACATCAAAATTGAATGCTTGCAAAATTTTCTGGTTTTACAGTATACTAGAATCCCCTGCACGGTCAAAGGTCAGCCTGTTGGATGGCAGCTTCCATTTTTCATTACTTTGTCAACTTAAGAATTTCATTTCCAATTTGTGTTGGAGTGTGTACGCCCCCCCCCCCCCCGCACCTTGCTGAAAACGTACCTAATGGGGTATTATGCTAGTCTTTCATTGTCATTTATTCTTGTTATATGATTTAGAAATTTGAAAACATCCATCCAGATTGCAGTAGTTATGCCTTATGATATTCGTTCTATCGATTCTCCAACTCATGATATCAAAATAAAGGTAAGGAAAACTATAAGCAAACAAGTAATACCTGTACATATTCAACTTGGTATTTTATTATTTTGCTTTAGTTGTGAAACTTTCTCTCTTCTTGATATATTTTTTAAATATGTTCTGAATGAACATATAAACATATTGATTAAATGTCTAAATCTGATTGATAGATTTTTTAAATTTTTTATTTATTTGTCCTTTAAACTGTGTAAACTCATTCAGTTAAAATGACTTCTCTCAGAGTGCCAAGTGTACAACACAGATAAAATATAAGAAAGTGCAGATAAAAGTCCTTAAAAACACCTTAAAATACCAATTAAAATAAATTTTAAAAAATATATATATATATATATTAAAAATAGAGAGAGCAGCCTTAGCTCAGGTGGCTAATATGGTGGTATCCCACTGTGTGTGTGCTGATCCGTGGAGGTCTCTAGGTCCCCGGTTCAATTCCTATCGCTGCCTCTCCTTGTGTTTCAGCTGGAGTGCTGAAATACAAGTTACGATGGCGCACTGTCTTTCGGATGAGACGTTTAAGTCGTTGGTCCCGTGTGCAATTATCACCAAAGAAAGGACCCCTCTGGAAATAAGACTTCTAGAATTTACACTGTTCTCATCATTTTTAAATTTAATCTTAGTACTATTGCTTTTCTTGCTAGGTATAATCTCTTTTAAAGTTTTCTACAACTTTGTATTGTCATATATATTATTAGAAATAGTGGAAAGAAAAAAATATTGCCTCATGTTTTTCAACATATTTCTGTGCATTTTATTAATGTCCCATTCAGCAGGGTTGTTACTATGCTTAGCCTTCTGTCTGAGGCACTTTGCTTGTCATCATAATGACATATAGTCTTGACTTATCCACAGCGGTAGATTGGTAGAAACTTTAATATTGATGAGGTGCATGATTGATTTATAACACACCTAAAGTAGATCATTGTCATTTGATTGGTGAATGTCCTTATGAGTGGAGTCGTTTATGTTGTGAGGAAAAATCCTGTTACCGTGACATCAATTGATCTTTAGGACCCTGTGATTGGAAAGCAAGCATCTTAACCACCAAGCTATTAATCTCCATTCTAGATTGATTAGTTGATGATTACTGTTAAAAATATTTTTTTATATATTCAGCACGCTACAACAAAGGCAACTGTGGAAGTGGACGAAGAGCTCTCATTGGATGATGGCTTTCAGTTACTGATTGAATTGGCTGAAATGCACGTGCCTAGAATGTGGGTTGAAAGACATCCAGAAAAAGTTGATTCGCAGGTTGTATTCCCAGGATTTGGCATAATTTATGTTATAGGGAGCTTTCGTGACAACATGATGCTAGAACGGAATCATTCTTGCGTGTCTGTCCTACCAGGTGTCCTACATTCTCTGCATGCGTAGATTTGGCCAAATTGCGTGCTAGAATCCATGCAACAAGGAACTTGATGTTCTTGCATGCGCAGATGACTTAATGACATCATTACTTTATACGTCCTGCTGTCATCATGCAATCGAAAGCTCTCTATGTCTCCTAAACTATGGAATTATTTATTTTTCCTTATGATTAGGTACTAATTTAGATACACTGCTAAGCACAGCCAGCTAAGTGTTTAGCAAAGTGTATAAATAGGACAAGAGTGCATACTCCTGTTTGTGAAGCCAGGCACTTACTAAATTTACAGTTAGAATAATTATTTAATAATATTTATATGAGTACATTTCCTTATAATTTAGTCGAATACAAATGTATATATGCCTGCTTGTGTTTAGAACTTTCTTGTTTTGTTTTATGTTATTTGGAAATATAATGGAGTTTAAGCCCCTAAAATTGATTTTAATTTGTTATATTCCATTAGACCTGGAGTCTAACGCATGCATTCTACTGGCAAAAACTGGATATGATGCCTAGACTATCAGATTTTTCATGCTTCATTGGCTTTTGTTTTGCAAAAGTACATTATGTCCATTTTGACTGGGCTGTAGAAAAAAAAATCATCAAAAAAGTACTTTAGTTGGTTCAGTTGTGTAGTTAGTACATTTACACACAAAAATCAATATAATTGAATTTTATAACAAAATTGTAACAAGAAATGCGTTTTGCTCAATATCTCAGAACTAAAATTTTGGCTTATGCGTTCTTCCGAATCACAGCAGTATGGTCATGATGTGACTATATATGGTCGTGATGTGATGTCATCATGACCATATTTAGGTATGTCCCATGTTTTTGTCAAATCAAAATTTTATAGCCTGGACAGGAATATAATAATCATTGGTAATTTTATTGAATTGTGTAAATGAGGAATTCAAAACTTTACCTGAGGGTTTTTGTTTTCTCTGTTTATTGGCTAGCAGCTTAAACTGAATACATTAAATATAATTTATATTTTTGTTTTATTATCAAATTATTTCCCAGGCCTGTATGTTGACATTTTACCCTGAGTTTGAGAGTGAAAGCAGTAAATTGCCAGAGATCCTGTTAGTTCTCGACTTGTCAAACTCAATGAAAGGAGAAAATCTGTTGCAAGCGAAGAAAATTCTCCTGATGATTCTCGAATGTCTTCCAACTCATGCAACGTTCAACATCATTACATTTGGAACAAGTAAGATGTGTTATCCTATTAAATCGGTTAATCAAAACAAACTACCTATATGATCCACACTTTTTACTGCAACAAGCCTTTGTGATTTGGCAGTGGACTCTTCATACATGGGCTAAATTTCGAGAAGCCCATCTCAAATTGAGGCTTCTTTCTTTAGTTTGCTAAAGTACTGTAGCCTCGAAAAAGAAGCCCGCCTCGAAAATATGCCCATGGGCTTTTCAAGGTAGCATAGGCTTCTTTTTGAGATAATACAGTACACATACACTGTACATGAATCTCAGCCATGGTTGGGGCTGAGGTAAGAACATTCATGATGGCATCTCTGGACAGCCGGAAGTTGCACTTTAGACTTAAATTTGAGTAGAATTTGCTTTTTTCCTCAATTTTTGTTAAATTTTGAAATATTTAAGAGTTGGGGGCCAGGCCTCCGATTAAATTCACCACTGGTTTAATAAGTTAACTTAGTATTTATTTGACAATCCAATCTCTTTCTTCAGGTCTATTTGTATCAAATTTTCTAACTTGTATGTATATTGACAATATCGAAGGTCCAAGCCTTTTATAATTATTAATTAATAATGTAAAGTATTTAATATTTGATACATTGTAAGCATAATCTCCAGAGTACTAGAAGTCATGAAAATATTCATGAAAAAGAATTAAAAAAGATTAATTTCCAGATTTCATCAATAAACGGTCAGCTTTATTTACAGTTCTCGTAGGAAAAACAGATGAATGATAGTGGATGAATGTATAAGTTTAATAATTTTTGTTTATTTAGTTTTCTTATTTTTTACGTAGTTATGCCAGGCCCCTGCTGGGCCCGGTCCCCGGGGGCACTAACCCCAGCCTGTCAACGCCACTGGTTATCACCTTTAATCATCATCAGCATCATTATCATCATCATCATCATCAACATCATCATTACCAGCATCTGCATTGGTATCACCAGCATCACCATCTTCATTAGCGTCAGCAACAAAATCAGCATCGTCATCGTCATCATTATCATAATCATTGTCATCAGCCTAATTCATAAGACTTGTTAGTGAATAGATGATATATGCATTGCATCAGAGTTAGTGACGAATAAAAAAAAATTATTGTGTTGGCCAAGCCTGACCAAATGAAAATGTACTAAATTGAGGTTTGGCGTTTTGTTTTTTTACAGGGAAAAATTTTTATTGATCTAATTTTATTTATTTTTATTTTATTTATTCATTCTGAAGTAATTATAAGTAAAAACATTCAAGGATAAAAACACAGAATAGTACAAAAAGCAACTTATTTCCACTGTGGTCCCTAAATGAGAATACTAAAATTACAGAATAATAATAGAACAATAAGGAAACAATACAATAAAACATTTTCAGAGTCAGATTCAACCAAAATTGACATCATAAACATTAAACTATTTAATACTACTATGAAGTTTAGGTAAATAGTGGTTCTTAATGAGTTTTTTAAATGTGTATATGCATTGTGCATTTTGAACATTATAAGGTAATTAAAGGCTGGAATGAGATTACAGTATCTCGCTGAATGGTAGGTGATGCGACAGTGTTATGCAATCATTTTCCTTTTAAATATAGATTTAAAAATGGTCTTTGTTGTATTTTTGTGTATTTTCTACTTATTCCTATTGACCTACCTTTTTTTTGGATCTTCCCAATACATGGCCAACACAATTGTATATTTGTGGCAAAGACAAGCCAAACCGTCGCAAAAAATCGATCTTGAGTTATTAATACAGGGTTAAAGAGTAAAATAAGAGCTATAAAATGGTAAAAAAATCATTCAAATCCAACATTTCCTTATGAAGTTACAAGCATTTAAGCATACAGCTGTTTAAAGAACAATATATGAGAAATCAGTCTTCAAAGTTGATGATTTCAGGCATTTCTCATGCAGAAGCCATCATAAAATCTTTAAAAAGTGTTGTTTTAACATTGAAATTGGGAAAAATATCGGCACAGCATGATGTATAGATACATAAACCTCAGTTTAGTGAAATAAAATAGATTTTTAAAAATTTTACATTCTAGCATGTTTTTGCTATTTTCTCTGAAACACAATTTGCGACGAGTGACTGGTTTGGCTTGTCTTTGCCACATTTATTGTTATTGTAATAGGAATTATTTTTTTCATTTTTTTAAACTTACAGTGTCTAATTTTTTTCCCCCCAAGATTTTGATGAACTTTATCCAGCCAGTCACCCTAAGACTGTTACTAGTGTTTCTACTGCTAGGAGGTTTATTCGTAATGTTAAAGCCAATATGGGGAACACTGAAGTGTGGCGCCCTCTACATGCTTACTTCTTGCTGAGTGATACAAATTGTTTGCGTAATATCTTCCTGATATCCGACGGCCACATCAACAATGAGGAATCAACTCTTAATGCCATTCAACACGGTGCAAAAAACAACAGAGTTTTCACATTTGGGATAAGGTAAGATTGTGAAAGAAATAAATACAAATATGAAGAAGAATTTATTCCTGAAGATGAACTAATAAAGTTCGAAATATAGAATCAACAATAGCTTGTATCACTTTTTTCAGAGTTTGTTTCATACTATCTTAAATATGGAGAACATAACACTAAAAAATGTTTATTAAAATATTTAAATGTAAAAAGAGCTGCTATTTAAGAAGTAATAAACCACTAAAACATTGTACATAAGACTAAAAATGCTATTTTTAGTCTTATGTTTTTTTTTCAATAACTATTTATTTAGCAAAACGGCGAACAAACACTTGTTGAGGGCGATAGCACGTGTTGGAACAGGCGCCTTTGAGTTCTTTGACACAGCCAGAAAGTCAAAATGGGCAAGGAAAGTAAGAAATTAATTATCTTATTTCAAAACTTGATGAATTGACATATTCTTTATAGTAAAAAATATAATTTATTTCATTTTTCATTTTTACTATCAGATTTATAATACATTTGTAAATGTACAGTATATAGTTAATCTGGTCAAGGGTCGATTATTAAAAGCCAGTCAACAACTAAAAATATATCTTAACTTATTGCAATTGTATATGCATCATTTATATTTAATTATTCTAAATGAAATTATCTTTTTTAAATTTTTATATAATTCATTTGATGATAAATTATTTATTTATTTAGCATCAATATCAAATCTTGAAAATATTCCAAATAGGTCAAAGTTCAATTATTGAAAGCAAAATTTAAAATACATTTTGAAATATCAAATGTAATAGTTCAAAAGTCAGTTATTGAAAGCAAAGCAACCAGCCTATGATCAGATTATAATACATTTTGAAGTGTATATATCTAATCTGGTCAAGGGTCAATTATTAAAAGCCAGTCAACAACTAAAAATATATCTCAACTTATTGCAATTGTATATGCATCATTTATATTTAATTATTCTAAATAAAATTATCTATTTTAAATTTTTATATAATTCATTTGATGATAAATTATTTATTTATTTAGCATCGATATCAAATCTGAAAATATTTCAAATAGGTAAAAGTTCAATTATTGAAAGCAAAATTTATAATACATCTTTAAATGTAAATGTAATAGGTCAAGAGTCAGTTATTAAAAGCAAGGCAAGCGGCCTACTATCATATTTATAATACATTTTGAAATGTATGTATTTAATCTGGTCAAGGGTCAATTATTAAAGCCAGACAACAAGTAAAAAATATCTTTACTTATTGAAGAATACATATCAAGTATATATGCATCATCATTTAATTATTATAAATAAAATTATCTATTTTTAATTTATATATATATTTCATTTTATCATAAATTATTTATTTATTTAGCACCAATATCAAATCTTTAAAATATTCCAAATAGGTCAAAGTTCAGTTTTTGAAAGCAAAATTTATAATACATTTTGAAATGTCAAATGTAATAGGTCAAGAGTCAGTTATTGAAAGCAAGGCAACCAGCACTGAGCAATGTGAGTGTGGAGTGGCAACAATCAGATGACAATGCCTCCAAACCCATCCAAGCTCCAGGACAGATAACATCCTTATTTAGCGGTTCACGCCAAGTAGTGTATGGGTATGTTCCATTCTGCAGACAGGTAAGGCATCTTTATAATAATAATAATGTTATATTTATATAGACCATATTGCACATTACCCCTATGCACTTTACACAGAAATGATATAGACTAACCGAGAAAATACAAATAACAATAAAATAATAACTATATAATAAAATAAAAATAATAATCATAATAACAAAAATAACAATGATGCTAAACTACTTCTATTCCTTAAACTAATTAATGGTTGGCCGTTGACTCCGAGGAGCTCATCCGCCTTTTGTTCAGCTATTGGTTTTTCTTGCTGCTGGCTAACCAAAATCACCCTTCTCCCCCCCCCCCCCCCCAGCAGCCACTATGACATATCATGAGAGGCATATCTTCAAGTTATATTTATTAAATAATATTTTAAGTGAGTTTATTATTAACCTGTAATCATGGTAAAAGTGTATTACAGTTAAAGACCACTTTTGGGCCTTTGATTTCCATGGGCTCTAGTTTTTTACAATAAGACGAGTCTACTAAATATTGTCATGTGATCACACATGTGAGAATTAATTTTTTCATGTATTGTGTAATCCATTTTTGATCATATTCTTTACCAGTTATGCCTGTCTTACCTACTTTAAATACAGTATTATAAACAAAATTATTATTGACTCATGTGCTTCTTTATTTAAAATGTAATTTGACTTTCATTTCAATTCAATTCAATTCAATTAACATTTATTCAATTAATTATAATAAATACATCAAGTGATAAAGAAAGTGGACAACATTAAAATTAATTAATTAGGATCAAAAATAGAAGCAAAGCTTGTCTCAATTTGACCCTGACAAAACAAAAAGTAAAAACTAATAATAAACGCATATCAGGTAGACCTACATTTTATATACAAATATATATATATATATATATACACATATATACATATATACATACACACATGTACATACACACATACATACATATACACACACTTACATACACACACATACACCCCCATACATTCATGTAAATACACACACACACATATACATAAACACATACATAAATGCACACACACACACACACACAAATCAACATATACACACTTATGCACACATATATATATACATACAATATAAATCATCAAAGGTACATATGCAGTGTTTAGATAAGGACATGATGGAACATCATAGGCTACCCTGTAGCTATTTAACAAATGTACATGTATATATGTTTGAATATCATACATATATACATAAACATACACATACATATATAAAATAAAATAAAATATTTAAATAAAGTTAAGATTGCAAAGGTCCTTCTATTAAAAATTATAGTTAAAGATGTAGCAGTATTTAACATTATGCTTTAGAATATTCTTTTGCATATGGATTTACTTGCAGCATTTGGTCGACTGGCTTCACAGAATGATTATTTAAATGATGCATACGAGTGGATCCATGGGGGGGGGGGGCGATAGTCATCATTAAGTCAAATGCATGGTCAGAGGTAAATCTCTATCATCATTGTTTATATTTTTTGTATTAAAGGCAACATTAAAAGCTGAAATTAATGGTGATGAAATCTCAACTATGGTATCTACCAATGAGCTTAGCGTAACAAGGGGCAAAGTAAGTTTGTTTTAGATTTTATTTTATGGCATATGAGAGCTATATAGAAAAAGTGAATCCATTTTAGGGTTAAAATGCATTTGAATCCCAGGCCGGAGTCTTGGGCTTAATTCTTGTTAGTGACATATCACATGACAATTTAGGACTGCCAATTAAAAAATTGTAATGAGAGTTGTCTAGAGATCATAGGGTTTAATACCACATTTAGCATGTAGAAGTGAATCCATCCTAGGGCAATTTAAAATAGCTTAAACAATACAGTAACAATGCAAGGCCATACAACTTATACTACATTTTGTATTACACTAGCAGTTAATACCTCTGTGTTCTGTATGCTTACATAATGGTTTACTAAATAATTTGATTATTGGTTTGTTTCATTGTGTCCGGCCTTTTGTGTTCGTATTTGTGAATCCATCGTAAGGTCACATTGTTGTTGGTCAATGAATGGCTCTCTAATGTTTGACCAATGAAATTTGCACATTATTATCACAGTTTTGGACTGCCAATTTTAATTTAATACAATTTTCGGTACTCATTTGTTGCCATCAGATTCTTCATCAATTGACAGCAAGAGCCATTATTCGTGATTGGGAGGATGGAACCCTGGATGTCAATCCAGTGGAGCATGACGTGAAGAAGGACGCACAGAAATCTTATATCATTGATCTCAGCAAAGAATATTCCATTGTGACGCAATTCACCAGCTTCATCGCTGTTGAAGAACGAGATAAGGTTTGTACGGAAACAGGAGTATTAAAAAGATAGCATAAATTATTTACTGTTTATTATTTATTGAAATTGATGTAGCGCACACATCCAGAAAACTGCTCAAGGCGCTTTCTTTCCCCCCTGTTCATTGGATACAGAATCAGTCACAAACAATGTATACCCTCCTCTGCTCCTAAAAAAATGTTAATTTACCTATCAAAACAATGTTATTATGATACCACGCTATCAATTGTGCCATCCTTGTGGCCACAATTTAGTTCCCCAACTAAACCATTAAGTCACTATAATAGTCACCTCCTCTGTATTCACTAAATGCTTTACTGTCTTTTAATGTGTGTTAAACTTTGAAGGTCAAAGTACACTCTACGGCAAAGTACAGAATTTTCCTCTAAGCGTACTGCCAAATTGACCATCAGGATTTGCTCTGTAAAGGCCCAATTTAACCTTCATGGGTCGGCAAGGCCCGCTGGTTCAGATTACATGATGAACGTATTTCAGTTACCGTAAAACGGCGTATTAGCAGTGTTTAGGGGATTTGGTATATAAAAATGGGATGATGTTGATACGGTGATGTTAACACTGGGATGTCTGGTGTGGTTATGATTTGAATCGGCGAGCGACAGCCTTTTTATAGGCACATCACATGATTGTCGGCAATACGCTGCCATGAAATGTGCATAAGGTGAGCATTCGTTGGTAAAAGTTTTCTAAAAGCTACCAGAACTATATATATTTTTTTTTTCATTTAATCTAGACTGATTTTGTAGGAGCAGTGTTCAAGCCTAGCATTAATGATCTTGTTGCCAATGAAGATGTGGATGATCTTCCATATGTGTGCTGGGAAGATACCGTCTATTCAAACTTTGAAATATGTTCATTGAGCGTTGAAACACCTCCTCCAGTCCATGTTAGTAGAAATTTATTTTCATTTTTATTATAACCATAATTTGGTTTTAATTGTGTATTTACTAGTATGAGTCAAGGATTATAAAATGATGTATGTGTGTATGTATGTATAATAATAATATGGTAGCGGTACACTCTAAACTGTCGTGCGGTAATGCTGTAAATATATATAAATCAATTTTAAATAATATAATGAATAACTGCCCCAACCAGGAATTCAACCCAGAACCTTCTACTGTCTATGTATATTATTATTATTATTTGGATTTGATTAGTTTCTTAAAACTTAATATTGCATATCCGATTAAATTTTCCTAATTTTTCTTATAGGGAAGATATGAAGGAGATTACATCATCAGGTACAGTATATTATGTATTAATACCATGGTGATTGCATATTATTATTTAATTTTCTTTTGTATATTGGCATTTAAGAGTAAAAACAGTACAATTTATATACATAAGCATAAAAAGAAAAAGGTTAGTAGTACCTTATATAAAAATATTATATGTGCATGTCCAAATTATCAAAAGTTTAAAAAACAATTCTTTATTGATATTTTACCAGGTTTAATTGACTGATTAATTAATTAACTGATTTTTACAGGAATAATGAATATTGTAGCTGATTTTGGTCTTTAAATCACTTTGCAGTCTCAGGGTCCCAGATTCAAGTCCTTCAATGTCAATGTAGTGGGGCTTCTCTTGGCCATAAAAAGAGTTAATTTTACTTTCTTTCAAACAATTTTTTTGTGTAATCCTAATTCATGTAATATTTCCTTTGTATTAAATTTTTTTTGCCTAAGATGCATATATTTATTCATAACCATTATGTTTTTAGTGTTGTCACAAACTTGTGTAAAGCCAATCTCTTGTGTTAAACAAGTCTGTACTCGTGTACTCTACTTGTTTTCGTGAAGAAATTAAGTTTATAACATTATTTATATTATTTTCATGTCTGATTTTTCATTTCTCTCTTCAGCAATTCTGAGGATTCATCCATTATATGGATAGGTAAATCACAGTACATTTCCTTTTTTTTTTTATTGTTGATTACATTGTTTTATGTATGTCAGTGGTGGTACCAGCATGTGGGCAGGAACATGCCTGGATCCCCTGCCATCCGCCAACCATTTGCTAATGTATGTATGCATGGTATGTACATAGTACGTATAAGCAATTAGTATAATAGCATATTATACACTAGTGGAAATTATTATACAAAGATTTAGATTAATGCATGAAAGCAGTTTTTGAATGCATTTTAATAATTTCCTCTAGTCTATAAAGCCTGTCACCATCTTTTAATGTTAGTTTCGAAAATATATGTGTGATCAAACTGTTTCAGAAGTCATCGATTGCTGTTATGGTTGAATAAATTTGCCTTGAATAACTTGCCTTCCAATCCCAGGATCCTGGGTTTGAATCCTGTCAGATTCCAAGATTTTTTCTCATGACAAAACAACTATAATATTATGTTTTGAGTCCTGTAAAACTAGATTTTTGCACATAACTAAAATTTGATGTGTAAAATTAAATCAGTATTATCAAATATGTTTTATTCTAGATACATAGAATATTAGGTTATTGACAACAAATTCTCAAGGTTGTAAGAGAGCACCAATCTTTAAGTGTATATTATAAATAATTTCATAGATGATAAAAACAAATAAAAATTTAATTTTCCATACACGAAACACATTTATTCTACAGATGCAGGAAAAGGACGATTTTAGCTTGGTTTAGTGTGTTCTTCTTTGGCATGCTCAGCGGGGAGCATTGGCATTGGTTTATCTTGTTAATTATCACTCACTCATTACTAGTGACATTTTCTTGTTTAGTTAGATACTTTTTAACATACTTGACTTTTTTATGTATTTGACAAACTCCTGAAATAATATACTGATTTCAAACTAATATAAATTTTCACTAATTATGTTGTTTTATTTTACCAACGTATCCTTGTACGTACAACACGTTTGTCATCGTCTGTACATTTCATTATACCATACAACAAGACAATTGGAGGTTCTTCATTCCCTTGTTATGCTTTTAGACTTTGGAATAATCTTCCAACTGACCTTCGGGATATTTCAAATAGAAAAGGGAGAATTCCCTTGTCTGACATGCCTGGAGCCTGTCATTCGATGCCATGACGAGGTCATCGGATCAAAAATAAAAAGATAATAATTTGCCTATTCAAATATTAACATTTTGATTGGCAGTCCCTGTGGTCTAAAAGTACAATTTCGACCATACTAAGCCTTAAAAACTCTCCCAGTGAACCCTACCAGGCTTGACCCCTCCCTTAAATTTAAATTCAAATCAGCTGTCATACCCCCTGTCACAATATTTCTGGAGCCACCACTGGGGGAACATTGGCATTAGTTTACCTAGTTGAGTATCTCACACATTAATAATGACATTTTCCTTGTTTGGTTAGATACTTTTAGGACCCCTAAATTTTGACTCCTTTGGAAACAAACCTTCTGGTTTAAAGGGTTATCCAATGCTCCCTCCAACCTGTTTTCTGTTTCTAATGCATATAATTGTGTATTTCTTTTCTTTTGTTTGTATTCTCTGGTTTGTCTGATCTCTTTTTACCTTGTTGATGTTTTCCTCTGTTACTTTTGAATGGCTTTGTTTTGTAAATTTGTTCTATGTAATGCTTCTGTGAGCATGAAATAAAAATAACAAACTACTTTTCTGTTACAGGATTGCTACATTATGTCATGCAGTTTAAGTTTTAATCCAACAAAAACTCTCTTTGGAAAATAAATCTTTGTTTATTAAGGATCCCTACATGGAACCTCGAAAGTGCTAATCTGGCATGTGCTGATGATGTCATATACTTGGGTGTTAAATTCAGTAAAAATGTAAAAGGCAAAGCCCATGTTGATGATAGAATCAGCAAATGTCAGAGAGCTTTTTATACGTTAAAACATGGAGGTTAAAAGGTGCGGGCATGTGTAAATGTAGGTTCGTCAACTGATGTCAAGTTACAGTACATGTCTTGAACACTGTTTTGGAACCGATCCTGAGTTATGTGGCCTACAATGCATAAATTTAAGTGTGAGCTCTTTACGAGAGTTGGAAAAAAAATCCAGATTAAATTGATTAAAGCATCATTAGGCCTTCCAAATCTCTGTGATAATCTTTAAGATCGTTGATAGTTAATTTTGTGTTTAAATTTTTCACCCATTCTTGACGATGGGCTTGTGGAAACCGATGGAGCTGGTAGGGCTGAATACAACAGGAGCAATCCTTGCGAAAAAATCCCTGGTTGGGACACAACTCGTTTTTCCATTGTTGAAGCTTAAATTGGCTATTACTGCAGCCATTCACCTGGCAAATCTTTCTTGCACCTTTTCCACTCATTCTTTTATTCCGGAGAATAATGGCTTAAAGTATTTCACAAAAGAATTTAACAACAAAAGAAAACAATCGCTTCGCTACTCTACTTTACAGTAACTGTAATGTATGTAAAAGCATAGGCACTTCCGGGTATCACTGGTACACCGCGGTGTCGTTGTACCCCAGGCAAGGTTGCCAGGTTAACGAAAGTTTTCTATCCAATTATCGCGAAAATGGTGTATACAGCTCTTACTCATGGTCTTAATCCTGTCTCTTATACACATCTAGATGTGTATAAGAGACAGGTTCAATGGCAATTTGAATACAAGAATCTAAGTTAAGTTAAATGGCAATTTGAATACAAGAATCTAAGTTAAGTTAAATGGCAATTTGAATACAAGAATCTAAGTTTTAAAGTGTATTTAGATTTTCATAATTTTTACAATTTTAATATATAATCTATGGTAGGTGGATGGGCATTCCATAATTAAACATATTTAAAACACATCCTTATATCAACCGGGCCATCCATGCGACGTGCCCTATTAGTGGTAATGGCAGTAATTTACAGTCCTTTTTGAAACCCTTGTTTTTTTTTTGTAGGTGTAGGGGATCCCTGGGGACCAACTTAAAAAAGGCAATGAACGTTATTAACAACAAAAACAAGAAAAGGAGTTAGGTGCTTTTTTATAGTAGTAGCTTTTACTGGGACTAAACCTAATTGTCAGAATGACCGTAGTATCATGATATTATCAGGAGAATTAATTTATTTTAAATGATTTTAATGATTTAATTTGATATTCAGTTGTGGCAAGAAGTCCAAAACCAAAACTAAAAAACGTTTTCATTCAGTTAAAAGCAGAGGGTAAGTAAAAACATGAAGGTATTATAATACCTCCATGGTAAAAACACAAGTAGCTTGTAATTTGATGCATGCTACATTGTTTAATGGAGGAATAAGTTTAGAATGAAATTAAATTCATGTAAGAATTTAAACTAATTCCTCCATGATTGTATATTGCACTTGTCTTGGTGGAGATTAACCAGTGATGGTATCAAATGACAGATTCTATAGGACAATGTATTGTTTACTTGTGCTAAACAAAGGAGTGCAGTCATTTCATTAATGTAAAATTAGCAGAAAATATTGTGATTTAATGGTTAAAGGAATATATTGCTAACATAGCTGACATTCTGTTAAATAGATGTGCAGGATAATGCACATCTAAATGATAGGAAGCTTTTGATTTGTGCAACAACGTGACACTAGGACTGATTCACTCATGCATGACCGCCCTGTATTCTTTGCACAACATATATTTGGCCAAATTGCGTCCTGGAATTCACGCAACCCTGTGAACTGCACATTGTGATACTCATCAGCACTGAAAACATGCAAATGTTATGAATTTGTGGGAGAAGGGTTACTTACCGGGAGATATTTGCTTAATGATTTCCGGGAGATTTCTATGAGTTTTGGTACACTCTAGAAAGGTCTATTCACAAGCAGAACAACCCCACTGGAAATTTATCAATCAACTTTATTTCGGACTTTTATCCATGTAATAACAAATATAAATATAAAGATAAACCGCATTTATAGAAATTATAGAATACCTTTACAGATATTAATGCAATATAAAATGCCATTTAAAAAAACATTGAATATTTCAATATGCAACTGGCAATGCCTAAGACAGGGGAGTTTTCAGATGCAAAAATACTTGACATGACGTCTTACACTGATTTTCTTACCGACTTGAAAAACATAGTAACTTGCTGAGACAAACATGGTGCTAGCACTGCTTGCTTATGGTTTACTAATATCAGTGCATTATTGTAGCATACTCTTCAACCAAGAAGCGCTATATAAGACCAACATATTATTATTATTATTATTATTAGCCCACAAAATTACACATTAGAAATTCTTACATTAACTCCTGATTAGCATATTTTTATGCGTGAGTTTCACAAATACTGATCAACTCTCCAGCAAACGAAGAGGACATTAAAATATCAGTGTTTGGACAATGTGGTTTATTCGTTTTATGTCAATGGTCTATAGCTTAATTAAGAAGATTTTATAGTATGTATAAATCATATTATCAATGTATTTGGTATTTTTCTTTTTTTTTTTTTTTTTTTTGTTAATTTATATGATTTACAAATCATAGTAAGGAGAACTAATCCATCATTGCCAATAAATATACCAATGTCAAAGGTTAACATTATAGACCATTTTTTAAAATCTGGTCAGATTCTTAAATGTTCTTTATTTTTTTATTTATAGATCAGTACTGTTCATCCAAATCACAGAAAACCAAAGCAAGACTCCCTGATTTAAAAAAAAGTGTAAAAAAAGGTTTGTCTCATCTGTTTAAATTCCTTTGACCAGCATTTTGTTAGTACATACTCTCAGGGGAATGTTAGGCCAGTGGTGACACCATTGGGTTGGGAGGGGGTGGGAGCTCTTCTGCAATTTAATGGTGGCATTCCCATTTTAATTTCTATAGCTTCTTTTATTTTCCTTTTGAATGAATGAGTCTCTTCAGTTAGTGCTTTTATTTTATTCCAATTAATTGTCCAGTGATTTTACAATGTTCTGCTACCGCTGAATGTATTTTAACACGTTGATTTAAATGTTCCTTGACACGTGTGTCTAATGATCTTGCGGTTTCTCTGATGTACGATTTTCCACACGTATCACACCAATAGTTGGCATGCACTTTTTTATCAAGTATAAGTAGGGTTGGAAATTTGCAACATACAGTATTTTTTGGCGATTCCTTTCCGGTTTGTTGTGGGAATTGGCGCGAAAAATGGTGTTTGTATAAGAGTTATTATTAAAGTGGGTGGGGTGGTGGTTGGAAATTATGAACATATTTTGGGAGATTTATTTTATAGAAAGGATTTTGCGGTGGGTGGTTATTGTTCTTACTACTCTTCTATACTTCTTATCCTCCTCCTTCTTTCGAATAATGCCAAAATTTTTAACCCATTTAGGCAACCGGCCTATAGACCATCTATGGACTAAAGAGAGATTTGTTGTTAATAAACTTAAATAAGTGTATTAAATGACTATATTTAAACAAAGGCTAGTGGAAGAGCATTTCGAATCTATGAACAAGGGTCAAAATATGAACATAGGGTCAAAAAGCATTTCGCAAACACAACCAAGCCAAAATCTACGGGTAATTTTTTTTTTTTTTTTTTTTAAATGCTGACCAACTAACCCCAATATAAGTTAATGTGTTATGTTAATTATCAATTCCTCATCATTTTTAGGCCGTGGGAAATCATCTGGACAACTAGAAATTTACTATGAAGCGAAGATGCGTAAGTATCACTCATCAATTCATAATTAATTAATCATAATTATTAATTATTTGTACAATGCTATTTCAAGTGTTCTTCCATTATTTTCTTGTAAAAATTAAATAATATCAAGCAAAATTTATAATAATAATTAATAGTATATTAAAGCTTAAGGATCATTAGTTTAGAATAAATAATAACTTCATGGATGAATTTAAACTAATTCCTCCATGATTGTATATTGCACCAGTGGCAGTGAACTTGAACCAGTGATGGTATCAAATGACATAGATTTCTATAGGACATTGGATTGTTTATTTGTGCTAAACAATGGAGTACATTTAATTTCATTGGTATAAAGTTAGCAGGAAATATTCAGATTGGTTGTTTAAAGTAATGTATTGGGGTTTCCTTTTTGGGGTGTTGGGTGGGGTGAAAGATCGTGTTTGTTTAAGAGAAAAAATGAAACATATTTTTGGAGACATATAGAAATAGATTTGCAGTAAACAGACATATGCTCTGATTGCTCTTATTATTATTATTATTATTATTATTATTATTATTATTATTATTATTATTATTATTATTATTATTAATAGTATTATTATTATCATTATTTTATTATTATTGTTATTATTTTTATTATTGTTCTTATTATTCTTATTCCTCTTTAAAATTCTTCTTATTTTATTGAATCGGACATTGCTCGACTTTTTAACACATTTTAGGCCACCAGCCCATAGAGTAACCTTAGACAGAACAGAGATTTGTTCTCAATCTAGTAGCAACATTGAGAAACTTAAATACATTTATTAAATGATTATATCTAAACAAAGGCATGTGGAAATGCATTTAGAATCTGTTAACCTAGGGTCAAAATTATATTTTCCATTGCCCAAACACAAAACCAAACCAAATTCTAGGGTATTCTTTTTCCTCTTTTTTTTTTTATTTTATAAGAAATGCTGACCAACTGACCCTGATATAAGTTACTGTGTTATGTTATTTATCAATTTTTTTTTATTTGTAGCTCGTGAGAGATCTTCTAAAACAAAAGTAAATCTCCGTTCTTTAGAATTGGAATGTAGTAAGTACAGTGTCACTCTTACCAAATCATAATTAATTAACCATAATTGTTAATTACTTGTACAATGCTACTTCCTGTCTGCTTTCATTATTTTCTTGTAAAAACTTAATAATATCTAGCAAAATTTATAATTAATAAATAAATAATAATAAATTAAATATTAAAGATATAATAAGAATTATTGATTAAAGAGAGGATAATCTTGGCAGCATCAGTCTCAGAAGTGAAAGTTCAAAGATGAAGAGAGTTCCATAATTTTGAAAACTTACTTTAGCAATTTGAAGTTTAGTAGGTGAAAAAGTGAAAACCTACTTAAATGGCAATTTGAATACAAGAATCTAAGTTAAGTTAAAAGTTCAATGACAATTTGAATACAAGAATCTATGTTAAGTTAAATGGCAATTTGAATACAAGAATCTAAGTTTTAAAGTGTATTTAGAGTTTCATAATTTTTGCAATTTTAATATATAATCTATGGTAGGTGGATGGGCATTCCATAATTAAACATATTTAAAACACATCCTTATATCAACCGGGCCATTCATGCGACGTGCCCTATTAGTGGTAATGGCAGTAATGTACAGTCCTTTTTGAAACCCTTGTTTTTTTTTTGTAGGTGTAGGGGATCCCTGGGGACCAACTTAAAAAAGGCAATGAACGTTATTAACAACAAAAACAAGAAAAGGAGTTAGGTGCTTTTTTATAGTAGTAGCTTTTACTGGGACTAAACCTAATTGTCAGAATGACCGTAGTATCATGACCATTGTTCCCAAAACGGAACACCCCTTCGAAAAAAAATGGAACAGTCCGACCCAAGGCGCCACGTGCGAACCGTCTCCCTAACAAACGTCCTCATTCCCTTTTTGACGTTGTTCGAAGTCGGATACATTCTAGCCTTTGAAAATTACTAGCAGACTTTTCAAGCAATTCTGTTCTCCTTGGATTTATTTTTGCTTTGGATTTATTTTTGCCTTGGATTTATTTTCAACTTGTGGTTGACAAGATATCCTTTTTATTGTAGTCTCGTACGTATCAGTTCAAAGTTCTTCCCTTCGGTCTATCCACAGCTCCTCGGGTGTTTACACGGGTGGTAAAATCCCTAGGTGCAGTGTTCCATGCGAGAGGGATACGTATTTTCATGTACCTAGACGACTGGCTCGTGTTCGCAAATTCCCGAGCAACTCTGTTGCATCATCTCAGCATTGTCTTAGACATGACGGAAACAGTAGGGTTCATTATCAACCGGGAGAAATCGGTTTTGGTTCCCACGCAACTTCCGCTGTATCTGGGGGCGCACATCGATCTTGTTAGTTCAGTGGCGTTCCCCTCCACGAGTCGGATCCGCAAGTGCCAGCTAGCAATCACTCAGCTTCTTTCCCTTCCGGATTCCCCAGCCGAGTCGTGGCTGCGGATGTTGGGGTTTCTCGCGAGCCTGGTAGACCTAGTTCCTTATTGCCAGCTTCATATGCGCCCTCTTCTACTGCATCTGCTCGCGTTTTTCTCTCCAGCATCTCGGGACTTGTCAGCTCAGATTCCCTTGAATGCATTTGTCGCCAGGCACCTCCGGTGGTGGCTTCAGGGGAACGTGCTTCAGGGTTCCCCGACCCTCTCCCCGTCTTTCGCTCACGGAACGCGTCGTGGGGGACTGGTCGCTGGAAGAATCCACCAGTCACATAAACGTTCTGGAGCTTTTAGCAGTTCGTCGGTCTCTGGAGGCCTTCGTCGATCGGGCAAAGGGGAAAGCTATGCTAGTTCATTCCGAAAGTTCAACCGTGGTCTCCTACATCAACCATCAGGGCGGCACGCATTCACTAACGCTATGCTTCCATACATGGCAGCTCCTGCTTTGGTGTCTCAGCCATCGCATTCATCTTCGAGCAGCTCACATTCCCGGCCGACTGAATGTCCTCGCTGATGTGCTGTCTCGACGTCAGTTACCTCCACTCCGTCCGACGGAGTGGAGGCTGTGTCCGGTCGTGGCCCAGCATATTTTCAACACGTTTGGGCGTCCCAACCTAGATCTGTTTGCGACGAGCTCGAACACTCAGCTTCCGACGTTTTGCTCCCGGTTTCCGGAACCAACAGCGTGGGCAGTGGATGCCCTGTCCATCTCATGGGACGGGTTTTGGGCTTCGGGTTCCCGCCCTTATCGCTTCTTCCGAGGGTGATGGCGCACATCCGTCGCCCCCCATTGCAAGGTTCTCCTGATAGCGCCATGGTGGGCCCGCCAGGGTTGGTTCCCACTTCTGCTGAGTCTTCTCTTCGAGCATCCCTGTGTGTTGCCGGTTCATCCGGACCTTCTTCAACAGGCCCGGTCGTGGGTCGGCCTGAACCATTTAACATCGCTGAACTTGACTGTTTGGCCCTTATCCGGGATAATCTCCAAGGTTCAGGCATTCCAGATGGCCCTGCCGCCATCTACAACAGTCGCCTTAAGCACTTCCTCCTGTGGTGTACCGATCACGAAGTGGATCCTATGTCAGCCTCTCTGGGTCAGGTGTGTCTCTTTTTGCATTATCTGTTTGAGTCGGGTCTCAGATTCGCATTTGTTTGTGTCTTCAGTTCGGCCCCACGGGCCTGCTTCTGTTGATACCATTGCTCGCTGGGTGGTTTCGGCCATCCAAGCTGCTATGCGTCGGCTCGCAAGCCGCCGCCTGCCCACATGCATGAGGTTCGCGGCACGGCGGCTTCTTGGGCTCTCTTTTACGGGGTCCCCCCTCGCCGACATTCTGGCAGCGGCATGGTGGAGATCGGAGACTACATTTTCATCTTGCTACTTGTGGGATGTCTTGTCGACCCAGGCGTCAGTAGCGGCTGCTGTGTTGAAGCCGTCTCTGTAGGTAAGTCTTCTGGTTTCTGATCACGCCCGCCTCCTCTTTACGCTGCTAATCTGGCAATTAGTCGGTTATCCAGGTAAGTATTCACAAAGTAGACTACACAAATCAATCGTGATGTTGGTAGTCTATGAGTGAGATACTTACCTGGATAACCTTCCCTCCCTTCCTACCCTCGCCGTGATCGTGTCGATCTTTAGGGAATGAGGACGTTTGTTAGGGAGACGGTTCGCACGTGGCGCCTTGGGTAGGACTGTTCCATTTTTTTTTTCGAAGGGGTGTTCCGTTTTGGGAACAATGGCAATTAGTCGGTTATCCAGGTAAGTATCTCACTCATAGACTACCAACATCACGATTGATTTGTGTAATTTGATGCATGCTACATTGTTTAATGGAGGAATAAGTTTAGAATGAAATTAAATTCATGGAAGAATTTAAACTGATTCCTCCATGATTGTATATTGCACTTGTCTTGGTGGAGATTAACCAGTGATGGTATCAAATGACAGATTTCTATAGGACAATGTATTGTTTACTTGTGCTAAAGAATGGAGTGCAGTCATTTCATTAATGTAAAATTAGCAGAAAATATTGTGATTTAATGGTTAAAGGAATATATTGCTAACATAGCTGACATTCTGTTAAATAGATGTGCAGGATAATGCACCTCTAAATGATAGGAAGCTTTTGATTTGTGCAACAACGCGACACTAAAACTGATTCACTCATGCATGACCGCCCTGTATTCTTTGCACAACATATATTTGGCCAAATTGCTTCCTGGAATTCACGCAACCCTGTGAACTCAACGTTCTCGCATTCCCAAATGACTTCATGAGGACAGCTCGCTTAACATCCAGATGCTACATCTTTTATCAATTCTTTATCTTTTTTAGCTTCTAGGAAAAGTAGAATTAGTTTTGGCCGTCTTTCATTTATAAATGGTAAGTATCATTCTTATCAATGCATAATTAATTAATCATAATTATCAATTACCTGTGCAATGTTTCTTCAGGTCTTTTTTCATTCTTTTTCTTGTAAATATTTCTTGAAATCCACATATCCTGGAATTTACACATCCGAAAATGCTTATCAGGTCAACAAGGACACAAGTTCACATCCACACCTGTCCACTACTATATCGTATTGCACGTAAACACATTGGTAGTTGTCATCAGAATGCTAACTCCCATCTTTGAATAGAGTTTTTCTTATTGAGGTTTCTCGAAAGTGTCCCCTTGATTAGGAGTTCCACTGCATATCGAAGTACTGTAGTGTCTCGTAACAAAAATATGTTACTATTTGATAAGCATACTTATTAAAAAAAATAATTATCTAAAGTAGCTTTTCAAAGATTTGTTGATTTCCATCATTTTCATCTGACTGTTAATTATGACAGTGGTTGCTAGCACCTTTCTCATGTTTTGATTCGATAATGCCCACTATTTTAGCTAGTAGGCACTAAAGGGTAAATGCCCGTCAATAGTAGGTCTAGACAAATAAGGAGCACAGGATGCGAATGAGTAACACAACACCGTAAAGTTTCTAAAATTACAAGACCAAAACAATTCAACAAACATCTGTCTGACTAAGATTATAGTATGCTGCCGGCGCAAATTACTAACAATAGCTAATATGTTATCAAGTTATTTTATTTAAGAAATGTTTTTTTTTTCGATGTTTTCATAGGAATCTTCTGATTTTTACAGTATATAATTTTAACACTTAAGCTTTTCTGTATAATTTTTTTGAGATGAGACCCAGATGCAATCCAACTACACTCAACAATTCACTCACGACCCAAACTTGGGTTGCCGATGGGTTGCCGATGTTAGATCTAGAGGTGCTATGTACATAAAATTGTGTACCTAACCCCAGCCATGGTGGGGCTCATGTAGTGTAGAACCTTCATTTGTCATAGTTCTTCCCTGCACCCCCTCTATTTCAAATTCCTGGATTTTCCATTGTTCCCCAAGTTCAGTACAATAATGAATGCAGAACTTGAGACCGGTGATGTTTAATTTATTTTTATTATTGTATTAATTAGATTCAGCTCTCTCACGTCCATTGTCTGACCTTAGTATGAAGGATGAAGAAAATGGTAAGTATAAATAAAAGTGACTTGTACAGTATTATTGTGATCAGATATTCTTATTACTGGACAGCAGACAAAAACTAAAGTCTTATAGTGCCATGTCTGGTCATCTAGAGGTGCTATAATCATAAATTGTTGGGGCTGAAGTGATCTAGACCCCCCCCCCATCTGTGAAAGTCCCTTCCTGGACCACTCTATTTGGAATTCCTTGATCCGCCAATGACACCCGTGGTCCATATGTTCACTAGTCTTTATATGATTCATTGGTCAATGATCAATGTTATTTTTTTTTTAAATATTCTCTATTGTATCTGTAGATGCTTTTCTGTACTTTTCACTCACGACCCAAACCTGGGTCACTACCCATGGGTTGCCGATGTTAGATCTAGAGGTGCTATGTACATAAAATTGTGTACCTAACCCCAGCCATGGTGGGGCTCATGTAGTGTAGAACCTTCATTTGTCAAAGTTCTTCCCTGCGCCCCCTCTATTTCAAATTCCTGGATTTGCCATTGTTCCCCAAGTTCAGTACAATAATGAATGCAGCACTTGAGACCGGTGATGTTTAATTTATTTTTATTATTGTATTAATTAGATTCAGATATCTTACCTCCAATGCATATGCTTAGTATGAAGGATGGAGAAAGTGGTAAGTATAAATAAAAGTGACTTCTATTATTGTGATCTGATATTCTTCTTACTAGACATCACACAAAAACCACCCAAAAAAAGTCTTAGAAATGCCATGTCTGGTCATCTAGAGGTGCTATAATCATTAATTGTTGGGGCTGAAGTGATCTAGACCCCCCCCCATCTGTGAAAGTCCCTCCCTGGACCACTCTATTTTGAATTCCTAGATCCGCCAATGACACCTGTGGTATCATTGACTAGTCTTTATATGATTCGTAGGTCAATGATCAGTGTCAATGATCAATTTTTTTTTATTATTGTATTAATTAGATTCAGCTATGGCACAACCAACCCGAATGCGTAGTTTTGAGGAAGAAGACAATGGTAAGTAAAAATAAAAGTGGTTTGTATTATTGTGATCAGATTTTATTCTTATTGGAAATCAGACAAAAACCACTAAGGATGATTTGTAGGTCAATGATAAGTGCTATTTTTTTTTTAATGTTCTCTATTGTATCTGTAGATGCTGATGAGCCGAATCATAGTGCCTTTTTCTGGAGAGCCAGAGGTTTGTAACTGCTTTTGTTTTCTTGTAAATATTTTATCAAAATAAATTACTCTTTTATTAGTACTGTACTTCATTTTTACATTTACGTGCATACAAGTCGATAAGGAATTTGTATACAGAGAAACTGTGAAAATATTGCACTTTCAAGTTTCTAAAACTACAAGACCAAAACAATTCAACAAACGTCTGTCTGACTGAGATTATTGTATACTGCTGGCACAAATTAAAGACAATAGCCAATATGTTATCAAATTATTTTATTTTTAAGAAATGTTTTGTTTCGATGTTTTCACAGGAATCTTCTGGTTTTTACATTAATTTTAACACTTATGCTTTTCTGTATAATTTTTTGAGATGAGACCCAAATGCGATCCAACGACACTCAAAAATTCACTCACGACCCAAACTTGGGTCACTACCCATGGGTTGCCGACCGTAGATCTAGAGGTGCTATAAACATAAATTGTGTACTAACCCTAGCCATGGTGATGCTCATCAGGTAGTGCTAAGAACCTTCATTTGTCAAAGTCCCACCCTCCCCCTCTATTTCAAATTCCTGGATTTGCCACTGTTCCCCTATTTTCATTACAATAATGAATACAGAACTTATTTGGGACCTGTCATGTTTAATTTTTTTTTTATTATTGTATTAATTAGATTCAGCTAGGGCACGACCAACACGAATGCGTAGTTTTGGGAAAGAAGAAAACAGTAAGTAAAAATAAAAGTGGTTTGTATTATTGTGATCAGATATTATTCTAATTGGAAATCAGACAAAAACCACCAAGGACAATAACCACCAGACAAACACCAACCAAAACTGATTATACCATTGTTAAAGCGGGGTGGACAGTTGGGTAGACTTGTATATATCTAGCTATACAATAGGATAGTTTACATTCTGACTTCCTATTATACACTTATAGAAAAATACTTGCTTCCTAGCCTAGCCTACCATCCCACTAGGTACCCATTTATACTTAATTATTATACAAATTATTGATCGCACAGAACTCCTCAGATGTTATTTTCGGGCATATAGAATACAAAATTTTCCTGGGGTAGTGTTGTCTCTCGATCGCACCCCCTCTGGCCTTTCGAACATCTATGGATCTGCTCCTGATAGGGAGCTGTCGATTTGCACAAGGACGCAACTCTTGAACAGATTCAGCCACTGCACTACATAGATTTGGTCAAATTGCATTCTAGAATCCACACGACCAGGAGAGCTTAACATTTTCGCATGCACAGATGACTTTTCAGTGACGTCCTTACATTCCACATCCCACCACGTTATGGTGCTAACGTCCCAGACCTATTAAAAACTGATCAATAAATCAAAGACTTTCTAGAATGGATTGTCATGTTCCAAGGAAGGAATGATTAAATTTTGTTAACGATTTGGAGTAGGTGTGGATATGAGGGCTATATAAAGGGAACTTCCCAGGCCAGATGTTTTAAAAATAATAAATGTGGTAAAGACAAGCCAAACCAGTCACACATCGCAAATTGTGTTTCAGAGAAAATAGCAAAAACATACTAGAATGTAAAATTTTTTTTAATCTATTTTATTTCACTAAACTGAGGTTTATGTACAGTATGTATACATCATGCTGTGCTGATATTTTTCCCAATTTCTATGTTAAAACAACACTTTTAAAAGATTTTATGATTGTTTCTGCATGAGAAATGCCTGAAATCATAAACTTTGAAGGCTGATTTCTCATATATTGTTCTTTAAACAGCTGTATGCTTAAATGCTTGTAACTTCATAAGTAAATGTTGGATTTGAATGATTTTTTTACCATTTCATAGCTCTTATTTTACTCTTTAACCCTGTATTAATAACAACGAGTGACTGGTTTGGCTTGTCTTTGCCAATGCATCTGAAAACCTTTCTGGATTTTTTCATCATGGCTAAAGAAAATAGTATGCATTAGGGTGTGTATGTGGAAACCCTTAAAATTGAACGTCCCAGACCTAAATATCTCAAAGACTGATCAATGAATCAACTGAATGAAACTTTCTAAAATGGTCTGTCATGGTTGATCTAAGGAACAATGATCAAAGGCTCCCAGTAGCTACCAGATCGCACATAACTAATAATGCATTCATATGAGCCAGTTGGTTATGTTCACTTTGTAAGCAAAAGCTCTCAGTTTCAATGGAGATTGAGAATGTTTTTCATTCTTTAAATTTTTTTTTTCCCAAAAGGAAAACATGAATTGCTAATTAATACAGGAATGAAAGGTACGTCCTTTCCTCGACCACTACTAAAACAACAAATGCAAAGTGCCAGCATTCCACCACCGCCACCGCCTCCGCCTGGACAAAGTTATGCATTTCCATCAGCAGACGTGCCAGCCTACGATATTTCAGGTATGATTTACTGTACGTGCATTTACTGTGGCGTGCATTTTGATACTTGTAGTATGTATTATACTATCTTATCTGAGATTAATCAGTGGACCTTTCAGACTTGGTTCTATCAACCAAACGCCAACTCCCCTTCCTCACCGCTTGACCACTTGACACAGATGTATTGGGGCCTGAACCCTTGATTCAAGCCCTAGTCAAACATCTAGGAACCATGTAATATGAAATTGCCATATTTATTTTATTCTAATTATTGTATTTATTTGGTTTAAGGACCAGACCTGGCACTGCAACAGACTCGAAAGCTAGCACCACCACCTGCTTCATCTACACCTTTAACACAATATAGATCAGCATCTCCTAATTGTAAGTATAATAAGGAAGCTTTTGATTAAATATTGTAATCATGTATTATTTGTGTATCTTCTTGAAGAATTATATATTTTAATTTTTTTAATACATACAGTACTATAATTTAGTTATATGTTTAAAGTAACCTTGTATAATTTTTGATTTTTAAAACATTTACCTTTTTAGGTGTGCTTTGGTTAAAGAAACAGTCATAGTATCTTAATTAGAGAACAAAATGACAGTGGATTCTTGTTCTTTTTTATAAGAATTTACCATTGCCACATGAAAAATATGCAGTGCCGGATCAAGGAATTTTGCGAACAAAGGTGGCCCGGGGAGGGAATTTTATGTCGATCTCGCCTCTAGGTGGCTGGAAACTTCCTTCCACCCCCACCCCTCCCCCATAATTTTTTACATTTTCAAAATGTTGGGGTCTGCCTGTGATTTGTGTTATCTCATGTATATTTTTTATATTTTGTTTAGTATTAAAAAAAACTTACCAATATAAGACTAGTGTCATCTTTATCATTGTTATACTGTATAGTCATCACCATCATCATCTTCATTATTCACATCATCACCATTAAATAATAGATTTCAAACAAATTAAGGTGTTTTTTGTTTTTAAGCAAGTTTGATCAACCCAGACCAGTGGCAGATTCAAGAGGTGTGGGTGGTGGGGCCATCCTGAAAGTGCCATCTAGTGGTACCATACCAACCATGTTGGGGCTGAAGCAATCCACCATCCATCTGTTTTAGGCGAGTCGAGTGGCCGAGTGGTAAGGCAGGGGCGCCGCTGCTAACTACCTCCTTAACATCGACGCTGGCTCCAGCTGCTCCTCCCCCAGGGTTCGTTTGGTAGAACTAATTCTTCTCGGATAAGGACAAAAAATGGAGGCCTGTGTACACATTAGCTGCTATGATTCATTTCAGCCCTGTCGTGAAGTGATGTGAACATATCGGTACTATAAGCGCCTCTTTACAGCCACAAGGTAATCACGGACCACACATTGACACTGCGAGTTGTGGGTTCTCCTACCTTTTCCGTACATTCGCCTTTCCCTTCATGGGCCCTCTCTATTTCAAATTCAGCAGACCATGACAAATTCAGGTTGATTAATTTTTTTTTACAGGGCTCCTAAGATAAATTTAGGCTCAGCATTATTTAATATCTTAATCATTGTATTATTTAATTTAAGTTTCAGCCTCGGCCTACCCTACACTTAACCAGGTAGAACCAGTTAGAAATTCAGCCTTCCGTGAATCTGTAAGCCCACACAGCCAAGAAACCTTCAACAGTTGTGATAGTAAGTAAACATTTTAAAATGGTTGTTAGTTATATTGTAACCATTAATCATTTTAGTTTCTTACTGAAAAATCAAAATACACATAAAAAAAAACTGCTGTTGCTGATGTTTGTTATAGAGAAAAAGTATAGTATTATAGAATCAACTGACTATCAGTGTTGTTCCACTTTAAAAAATAAATTCCAATTGAGGCTTGATATTCACATTCTCCACATTATAAACTTTAAATTGATGAGTCATTTACTGGAATCGACTGACTGCTGCCAAAGTTAAGAGTGAAAGTATTTTTTCACCGTGCAGAGGACTATAAACTATAGTATTTTATTTGTAGATATATCATTTGAGTATACGGGACCCGGCTGTGCATCTCTCGGAGGTACTGGCAATGGTTTGTACTTCTTGTGTTTTCTTGTAATATAAAATGTTAAAGGCTGCGTTTATACAGCACTTATTACTTTACGTTTTGTTATTTTTTGCTGCGAACCTTGGCCCAATGTTTCCGATATGTTATTTGATGAGAATCAGATAATTTATCAGAAGCAGCTCCAAAATACTAAAAAAAATTAACTTTTGACCAAGGTCAAATTTCGGTACTGTACACACACAGAATTATTTTTTGGAACTTTAATTTGTGCGAATGTTCTCAGGCAACTAGGCCTATTATCAAAACACTTTAATAAATAGTGAGTAATTTTTTTCCGGCTTATTATTAAAAAAAAGACTTGACATCCACGGTGCAGCCCAGCTACCCTGGGCCTAGGTCTGACCATATTGTATATTGTACCGTAAAATACACCAATGCTGCATTCATTTTCGTTGATACTTCAAAATATATATATGTTATCTTTTTTTTTTTGTCTTAACTTTTTTTTTCATTTTCTTTCTTGTGTTTTCTTTTCTTTTCCTTACCTTTTCTCTCTTATGTTTCCTTATCTTTTTCTTCCCCTTTTCTTTCTTATGCTTCCTTTTTATTTTCATTTCTTTACTTTCTTATGTTTCCTTGACATATCCTTTTCCTTGTTAGTAGTATATTAAGAAATTTAATATTATTTGGCAATTCAAAATACTGAAGAAGAGTAAAGTACAAATTGAGTTTTTGCTTTAGTTAGTGAGTGTACTATTAATTAGTTAGTGAAGAATCTTTTTATTTGTGCGACGACGTGACACTAGAAAGGATTCACGCATGCGTGATCGTTCTATATTTTCTGCACAACGTTCTCACATGCGCCAATGACTTTATGTGATGCCATTACATTCTACCGTCGTCGTGAAATTGAAAGTTCCCTATTACTTTTTCTATAATTGCTGTTGCTGATGTTTGTTATAGTGGAAAAGTATTTTATTATAGAATGAAATATCAGTTGTTTTTTTTTTTTTCATAAAAAAAAAACAATTGAAGTTTGCCATCCCAAAACCTGCATCAGCAACCAAAAAATGATATTGACTTTTTGATATTCACATTCTCCACATTATAAACTTTAAATTGATGGGTAATTTACTGGAATCGACTGACTGTTGCCAAAGTTGTGAGTGAAAGTATTTTGTCACTGTGCATATTATTTTGTCTTTATTTTATTTGTAGATATACTATGTGATATGTTATCCCGTGGATCATCATCTCCCCAACTTGGTGCCAATGGTTTGTAACTTCTTGTGTTTTCTTGTAAAATAAAATGTTTTGGGCTCTGTTTCTGCAGGACTTACTACTTTACATTTTGTTATTTTTCATTGCAAACCTGTGCTCAAAGTTTCCTATATATTACTTGATGAGAATCAGATAATTTATCGGAAACAACTCCAAAATACTAAAAAAATTTAACTTCTGACCAAGGTCAAATTACAGTTCAGTACACGCAAAGAATTTTTTTGTACCCGTGGGAACTTCTTTAATTTGTGAAAATGTTTGTTAGGCAACTAGGCCCAGTATCTTTTCAGTCAGTCAGTCAACAGTAGATTTTCTTTGTAGCAAGTCAATAATCCAATCAATCCTGGGACTGTGGTTATTGGCATGAGTTGCAGAGTGGAAACACATTCTTCTTAGGTCAATATTAAAATTAGGATATTTCTCTTGGACAGATGATGAGAGCTCCGATCCCTGGACAGACAGGATTATTACCAGCTTTATTTTACATATTTGTCTATACTTAGTCCTATCCTCTTTTTCTTTTTCCGACCTTTAGCACATTCTCATCTGAGTTTTAAAGAAAAAATAGAATGATCCTGCCATCCTGCTAATCTTAATCGAGCTGATGGCCCCAACAAGCTAACCACCACCCACCACTACTAATTACATCTGCTATCTTGCTGTTATGTAAATATTCACGCATTCTTGTCATGAGCCATGTTCTTTGGACGATTATCTTTTCCGCCTAACCACCATTCGTAATGTCCTTATATAAATTTTTTTTTTAATTCAAAAAGTCCCTCTTGAATTTAATAATTTCCTATAAGAACCCCTCGATTTTCATCTACCTGTATTTCCGTAAGCGCCCCTTCAATTTCCACTCTGTTTTCATAAGCGCCCCGTTTAAATAAGCGCCCCATTTGAATAAGCACCCCTCAGAAAGTTAAAAAAAATATTGCCTGGGCGCTTATTCGCGCGAGTACGGTATCCACGGCAGATACAATGTTCAGCGGTGCTAATGACGCTACTATAAAAAAGACCTTAACGTTTGCGCTTGACATCCACGATGCAGCCAAGCTATATATATATTGTACCGTAAAATACACCAAAGCTGCATTCATTTTCATCGTCTTTTCAACTCTCCATAGCTACATATGAATGCAATGAAGCCACATTGTGACAGCACATTTCCCAGAGTATAAAAAGTAGTACTGAATTATTTCTTTACCTTTCCATATAGCACAAAAGGGTCGGTTAACTGCTTGGTCAACATAAAACGGATGTTTTCATGTTGAACACATAGCATTGTGGTCCATAATTTGCATTATGGGATAAAATATTTGGAGAGATTTTTACGATAATTTATCAGAGAAATTATTAGTGCTGCGGAAACAACACCTTTGCTAATTAAATGACTTTATTCTTACTTTGTTTTACATTCACATGCATACAAACATAATATAAGGTGAACACAAGAGAAACCTGGTCATTCATCCAAAATTGTGTTTTGCAGTCTGCCAAAACATGTCAACATATTTTAAATCTATTTTATTGCATCATCATAACCACCATCATGTATTATCATCATTACCTTTGTCATCATCATCATAACCAATTTTGTCATGTGAACAGCCATCATTATCATCATTACCTTTGTCATCATCATCATCATCACCAATTTTATCATGTCAACACCCATCATTATAATCATTATCAACATGGTAATTCATAAAATATTTATAACAATATGATATCTACTAAAAAGCAATGCCAAATAATGAAAATTATTGAAAGTTAATAGGTTAAAACATAATATTAATAATAATAATAATAATAATTATTATTATTATTAATATTATTATTATATTATTATTGTATATATACATGTTTGTCCTGACGCAAATCCAGTTATTGTCTATTCAATCACGACAATAACAATTACTATTATTATTATTATATTATTATTGTCACGTGGTACTTCAATGATATCAATTTAACATGAACAAAACGACACCCATCATCAGATAAGTTACAACAATCTGTTTATTTCTTTCCTTCTTTTCTTCAGTCATTCATTTGACTTACTGCAACCCCTTGTTTCGTAAAATTTATCCATGAGTCAGCATAATATAGAGGCTACCTATAAACAAAATGGTACATTTTTCTAGAGACACGCCCACATCGTATTTTACAATTAACGAGCTAAAATAATAAATTGCAATGTGGAATCCGGGCGCTTTAAACACTGGTTTCCACTGTTGGACAAGGTTCACTCTATGAACCTCCGTAATACCAAAGACTTCAAAGAATATAAATTCAAGAATATGAGGTTCAGAAATAGCCCCCTTCCGTATATGACATCCCTACTGAATAGCAAGTGAAGTCCACAGTGTGATTTCTTTTTCAGACAGTTTCTACCGCATTAGTTATAATTGGATTAGCTCAAGTGCAATAAATAATAATAATAATAATTGAAATTGAGAATAATAATAAATAATATTTTTTAATTTTAATACATAATTCAATTGTACATAAATCAGTAATTTTAAATAATATTGCTTTTAATTCAATGTATTTTTATATTTTCTACTTGTATTTCTAATGTATTTTTGTAATTTTATTGTAATTCTGTTTTAACACCATTAGTCTCCAATTCAATTTTATATTGCTATTGACTTTTGCTTTGCGAATTTTTGTACCTGTTCGCCTTTTTGTGATTTGAACTTGAATAAATAAACCTGAATAATAGTATAAATTATCCAAAGGCAGTTTTCATGCAAGAAGGTGTTTGATAGGCAGTGGCGTAACGATGGTGCTGTGGGGCCTGTGGCTTTCTAAATTTGAAGTCTTGGTCGCCAATGCCATCGTGGGATTTTACATGTGCTAGCTTCTTGTATCTACTGCCCTCTCTGAACGGTAGACACTTTGAGCACAGTTTGTCAATCCGGAAGCGTAAATTTTGACCGTGAAGTTGATATTACATAATTGGTGACCTGGGGAAGAACAGAATCATTCAATGCGCAACACTTTCCTTCTGCTTTTGTGCATGTACCTTGCTTGTTAGCTCTGCGATGTCAAATGTTAGTTCTATGTAGGTAGGTCTAGATCTACGATAAGTACAAGCCGCCTTAATAAGGCTATTGAGGTGTAGTTGTAGTTGCAAGACTGTTTGATTTCACTAAATTTGACAATTGTAGACCAAAAATGTTGGATGAATTAAAAGTAGTCAAAAGAAACACATGTCATTCAGTAGACACATGTTCTTGCTGGGAGCTTATTTTTAATCAAATGTTTTAAATGACAAAATAAATTGTATGATATCCGTGGCGGATCCAGAAAATTGAAATAGTTAAGGGTTGGGGGACTTTCACAGATGGAGGATCTCACCTCGACCACACCTTTGTTGGGGCTGAAGAGGTAAGAAAATTTATGATTATGCCAGTGTTAAATGGCTAGAAATGGCACACACAAACCTAAAATTTGAATATAATTTCTTTTTATCTCCATTTTTTGAAAAATGACAAATTTAGGGGGCCTGGGTCGACAGGGCCCCTTTAGTCCTCGACTGGATATAATGATATATGTTCTCGACTGGATATAATGATATATGTCCTACAGTCTATTTCAGAGACACATTATGCTGTGTACCAACAAAGGTTTTTAGGGTCGTAGTGCTAGATGGAGGACCCTTTGGGTAGGGGCCCCGAAGGGTAGGGGTTAAGGGCCTAGCTGACCGCCGCACAAGAGTGCATAGCCGCTACTCCACTTTTGATAGGAGGAGGAGAAAAGCCAACATCTCTCAGTCTATTTGGGAGCATATTCAAAAACTACTGGACTGATTAGATCAGGAGTAAGATGCAGATTTTAGGAATATTTTTTCCTGCCGCAACAGCTAGAGCCAACTTGCAGGCCAGATTTTCCATAGCTGGCATCGGTATCATTATCATTGATATTATTGTTGTTACAATGATAGTTATTAGTGCTTTTATCGTCGTTATAGTAGTTATAATCATTGTTATTATGTAGGATGATGTTAAGTTTGTGAAGCTAAAATTTCAATATTATACTGTTTTGCGTTGTATTTGTTTTTTATAGGTAATTTTAAAAGAGAGACCGGGTTATATCGCTATCTAGGAGGCAGTACACGAGCAGGTAAAATTGGGACCTTTCTCATTTTAATTAAATTCTTTTTGTAGGTGTATCACCAGGTTCAATATTGGCCCACTTTTTTTCATGAATAGCCTTACAAACTTGTAAAGCGTTGTGTATGCAGATGATACTGCACTGCTTTTTTCTTCGCATGATCCTGTTCCTCCAAAAAGTTCTCAATACTAACTTAAATAATATTTCAAAACGGTTTTATAACAGTAACTAAACTAAATAATTTTATGCTTTTTGGTACACCATAACAGCAATATTGCAGTAATTTTACCTTTTAATATATTTTTTTTTTATATTTTTAGATGACGATGTTTATATACTGCCAGAAAACTGTAAACATATCTGCGTTGCACTGAAGAGAGCCATCAATAAACAAAATCCTGTATGAACATTTTTTTTTTTATAATAGTCATGATTGGCGCTACTGTCTATAATATATGGTGTCACACGTAAAGTAATGGAAAAAGATACATCAAACCTTATCAGGGAATATCACTAGAAACAGTGAATTGCAAAAAAGACAATTTCATAAATTATTCATAAACATATAACACAATGTATTGGATATGCAATGGTTATTTCCTGCTACCAACCTTGTACACCAATGTAATTTATATAAATCCTTTATTTTATCGTTACGGTTTCATGATCTAGACCAGCAGCAGTTATATACTGATATCCTTTATCTCTGAACAGGATGGATCATGGTCGTTTTCATCTATCCAGGAATTGACAAGACTTGACAACATTATTGCGGGCAGAAATCGTAAGTACTGTTATCTTATTCTGTATATACATCTATTGATAATGGAGTGGAGGTACTGTAGATTTAAACATAATTTTTTTTTTTTTTTTCAAACAAGGTCCAGTTTTCTTGTGTACAGCAGTAGTAGCCAGTTTACTAGAATTGGTGCTTTTAAACTGGAAGAGAATCTGCAAAGCCCTGTATAAATTTCAAGTAAATAGTTTTTATGAAAAAGCATTTAATTGTCTGATGGAGGCTGAATCATTCCTTCAGAGTAAGAGTTTTTCCGATGTACCCAAATTGTCGACAGAAGGACAAGACAACTGGTTGGAATATGTAGAGATTCAAATTCTTCATGCATCAGTACCCACAGGTAAGTCAGTAATATTTTATATAATATTTTTATCCTAATTCATTGTTCACATCTTGGCAGTTTACGCATTTCCATTATTTGTAGACTTGGCATACACCCTCTAGCTTTTTCCACAACTTCTTTCGGTGGTCTGAAGATCCAGTATTAAATGTTTGAGTGATGAGTTAATGGTTTTTAGTTCTATTTAGGCCAACAACAAAAAATGTTTGTTTGTCCTCCTCCACCCGCCCCTAACTCTAGGTATAACTCTAGGTATGTTTTAAGAGTATCTTAAAACAAGAACTAAATAAAAAGAAAAGACTTTTCCACCTGCCCCTATTTGTCATTTTTAAAGAAAGAAGGGCAAACAAACAATTTTTTTTTTTTTTTTTTTTTTTTTTTTTGGCCTTATCATGATGTCCATGTTGTTTTTAGTTTTCCAACAGGTCTTGTGACATTCCTATAGTGATAATTGCGACATAAATTTGCTGGAGATTCATGTGGTAGCCTTTGTAGGTGTTCTGTCCATCTAAACCTCCTCTTTGCGGTAGCAGACAATTTTTCTTCATTTGTAAAAGTGTATAGATTAGTGTTGTGAAAAATATGTGGCCATTTTAATGAAAAAAGGTGAAAGGAGAAAGGTATCTATCATCTCTTCCTGTTTTGCAGTTAGCATCTATTCCAAGTAATACATCTGGCACGGATTCAGTAGGGGCATGAGGGCATGAGCCTACCCATTTTGCCACTAAATTTTAATGCATATCAATGTTATGTATTGAAATAAGCGCTACTCACTTATCTATTCTTAAAATGTTGTGGCCCCCCTCCCCCATTTGAAAAACTCTAGATCCACCCCTGTACCTGAAAATGCTTCTTGCATATTCAAGAGTCTCAATTCTAATTTTCAGCGATATTTTTTTAATTCTTATTTATCATGGTAAGTATCTCATTCATAGACTACCAACATCACAATTTATTTGTGTAGCTTGTGAGTATGTGACTGCATTTGTTTTAAATGTTTTGATCTCAAGCTGTCTGCTTTTAATACAGAACTTAGACGCTCACCTTCAGGGATGCTGACATTTTAGTGGGGGGGGGGGAGATTACAACCTGGCACACCCCACTAGATATGTGCCCGGTCAATTGTCCCACATTCCAGTTGTAGTAGATTGTCAAAAAGGTAATTCCTGAAGTTTGTTGTCCTACAGATCTGGGTGTTAACAGTTCATTGATTGTTGTTCCTGAAAAGTTAATAAGTTTTGAACAAAGAATGAAGGTTTTGAAAAAGTCACAACTGTGGCTGAAGGTAAGAACTAAATTATTGTTTAAAACTAAAACCATAAGTCTATTTTGTAGGCAAGATTTTTTTTTATGCTTTTGTTTTGCCAAAAACAAAAAAACCCAAGGCATTGTAGATCATTTTCACCTATTACCGTTTTTTTTTTAAACTTGTGCATGTCAAAAGAGGAAGTTATCCATAATACCAGTTTAGTGTCGTTTCTACACTTTCTCAATTTATCTGCATGCATATAATAATGTTTGAGATTTTTGCCTTGCCTATTTTTTTTTTTTTTTATGTCATATACTATTTATAGAAGCCATTTTGGACAGTGTCATCAGCCAGCTTTTCTGTACTCTTTGGCATCAGGCGGAGGAAGATTGTTGCTCTTTTAAAGCAGTCAGGTATCAAAGAACTAGGTATGTACCTTAACTTCCTTCATTTTGTGTGAAAGAGTAAACTTTAATTCTCCCAAGTTTTCAGAAACCACTGAGGAAAAAAAGAACAAATCCATTTATTGCATTTCTGATTAGTGCAGTGTAGAGATCTTTAATATGCAGGCAAGCCTTGGTGGAATGGTTAAATCTGTGGGGTTGCAGTGGGGCACAGGATCTTCCATCAGGCCTAGGCCTATTACTAGCAGTACTTTATACTTCAGAAGAATAGTGTATCCATAAAAAACTTAAGATTTTCAACATTTTGGGAGAGGGGTGCACTTGACCAGTGTCAATACAGTATCCCAAATTTTGTGTTTGAGGGATTAGAAAGTCTGTGTGCTATCCCTTCACATTGTTAATATACTGAGACATAGTATACTAATTAAGAGATAATGAATTGGTCAACACAATAAAACACTTTTTCCATTAATTTTCTCCCAACACTACTGTAATATTTGTATATCATCGTAAATCCATGTGCGTTCTTTGAATTATATAAAAGGCGTTGAAACAAGAAATTAGAACACTTATTTATTTTCTAAGATATTTCAAACTGTCCTCTGGTCTTTTCAGCTTACAAAACTAATATTTGTAGATGTAATACAGATTCACTGTCTTTAGTAAAACTGGAACACTTTATAGACTTCTAATGATTCAAATTGATTTGTTTTTTACTGTATTTGAATAGTTTCTTTGGCTTTCTTATTATGAAATTTTCATTGATAAGGCAAAAAAAAAAATGTTTGTTTGCCCACCTCCACCTACCCCCAACTCAGTGAAAAAATAGGGGCGAAAAAACAAAAAACTTAAAAAAAAAAGTTTTTTTAAGATTTTTTCTCTATAAATTAAAAAAATGTTGGTGAATTTATCTTTATTTTTTTTGCCAGATGCCCCACAAATTAGTCTAAAGTTGTCTGATGTAAGATACTGCCATTGTAGGCCTCTGTGGGTTATATTTATTCCATCTGATGAGTATTTAAAAAAAAAAAAAACTTTTTTCACCTGCCTCTATTTATCATTTTTAGCAAACAAACAATTTGTATTTTTTTGGCCTAATAATGAACCAAATATAATGGATGTCAACTTACTGCAAGCTTTCGTCAATTTATCAACTTGACTTTGTCAGGCTATTTGAGCGTGTTGTTTTGGGCATTGACTGAACAGTTCCCTCGAATGCCAGCTCTTTTCCTGAGAGGATTGATTCCATGGCCTAAAATTGTTAAAAACTAGGACAAGTAGAATAATTGCCACTATCGAAAATATCACTGTCTAATATATGGAATTACAGTATGATAACATTTTTTTTTTATTTCTCATCATTTTAAAGATTTGAAAATTCAAGAAGAAGTACACTCCATGTTAGCCCTAGCAATTGGTATCCGGTCAATGTCAGCACATAATATTGATGATGGAGTCACTTCTACGATGGTTGAAACAGTGCAGTCATGGCTGCATGAGAAGGAGACAGCCAACCCTGGGCTAGCCTCACAACTTAAACTTGGAGGTGACTGGCTGGATGTAGCCTCAAAGATGTGTAAATAGAATAAGTAATTGGCAGGGTGTGCAGCCTAAATACTTAACCGGTTACATGGTTGTTAAACATTGAATAAGATAATATTTTTTCCAAAAAAAAACATTTGCCAGCAAAGACATTACATTGTAATACTATAAGAAACAATATATTATCGTAATGAATACAAAATTTCAGTAAAATTATTAAAGAGAAGAAACTGCAAAAAAATGCTCACCATAAGAAACAGTGGAAATTCATTATCTGAGTGTTTCTTAGTTTCAAAACTTTATAAAAAAAAAAAAAAAAAAAAAAAAAGGACAAAATTGAATGCATCACATTTTTTGCGTCAGACATCTGTACGAATACTGCATAGTTGCTTGCCTATGAGACCTATATTTGTATATGATTTTAGAGTTGTGATACTTCTTGTTTTACTGGTGAGCATTTAGTATTTTTATATCTTGTCAATATAGTTGTACTTCATTGGAAACTGTTCCCACAAAATGAAGGCTTGTGAACAAAGATTTAGATGAAGGCAAGGTCACTAAGTTTGCAAGGCTGGATCATTGGTTGACTTTAGGGGGTGGGGCACCCTGTCCATTCCCACCTAGATTTTAAAAATTTTGGAGAGAAAAAGAAAATTACAATTAAATTTATGTCAGAGAATGCCATTTCTGACAATTTAGAGGTGTCAATCATAAATGTAGGTCTAGACCCTCTATTGGTTAAAGTCCTTCCCTGCCCCTCCCCCATTTCAAATTCCTTGAACTCCTACTGCTCAGACACTGAGGAGCATGTCCAGAATGTAGGTCACCATATCAAATAGTATGATACCAGGACTGCAGTAGCTCTTAACATAATTTTCCATTTATAGGCTCATTTAATGTAAAAATATAAGGGACAATTTACTTAGAGTGCACCTGCAGTATTATGAACTGTGGTAATGCATTTATTTTTTTAATAAATATGTAATTAATGCGGTCTTATATTTATTACCAGAATGGCTTTTTTGTATATTTTTGTTTTATTTTGTTTGCCTTGAGATAATTGTATTGTGGAAGGTGCTCAGCAAATATACTAACACATAATTTATTTTC